ATCAATGTGTTGACAGCTTTATCATTATATAATGATCTTCTTTGTCTCTTGTAACCATTTTTGGCTGGAAGTTTATTTTGTCTGATATAAGTGTGGCTACACCCACTTTCTTTTGGTTTCTGCTTGCATGGAATGTTATCTTCCATCCCTTCATTTTGAACCTATCTGTGTCTTTAGAGCTGAAATGACCCCCTGTGGGCAGCATTAGTTGCGTCTTGCTTTTTTCTTATTCTTTCACCGCTCTGTTCCTTTGAACTGGTAAATCTATCCATTCACATTCAGGGTGATAATATGTAAGGACTTACTACTGTCATTTGACCTTTTGCCCTCCAGTTGTTTTGTATCACCCTTATTTCTTTTTCCTTCTCGTTCCGGCTACCTTATCAAGTTTGTAGTTTTCCATAGGGACATGTTCATTTCCTCCTACCCCCACCATTTTTTGATTTGTGTCTCTGCTCTAGATTTTTGCTTTGTGGTTACTATGTGGTTTACAAAAAAAAATCCTACATAAAATAGTATCCTTTTCTGCTGATAGCAACTAATCTTAATTTGCCTGTAAGTTTGCATCCTTTTCTACACTCCCTTTATACTTTCATCATAACACATTATCTTTTTAATACTATGAATTTGTTACAAATCATAGTAGCTGTATTTTTAATACTTCTTCCCTTTAACCTTTATGCTATAATTGTTTAACATACCTTTCTAAGATTCAACATTTTCTAATTGTGAATATCACCATAGTCAAGGTTTCATGTACTTTTCTCTTTGCTGAACTCCTTTCAGCATTTCTTGAAAGGCTGTTCTAGTGTGAGTGAACTTTTTTTCTGCCTGGAAAAGCCTTTATTTCTCCATATCTCCAGGGTAACTTTGCCAAAATGAGTATGCTTGGTTGGAAATTTCCATCTTTCAAATGCTTTGACTATGTCATTCTGCTCTCTCCTGGCTGCAGAGTTTCTGCTGAAAAATCTGCTGATAGTTTAGGGGAGATTACTTTGTAGGTTACTTTCCTTTCATCCCTGGCTGTCTTTTGAAATTCTTTATCTTTGACTTTTGACAGTTTTATTACACTGTGTCATGGATGAGGTCTTTTTTGCATTGAGATAATAAGATGTTCTATTAGCTTCACGGACTTTTACATCGTTTCTTCCCCAGGTTGGGGAAGTCTCAGCTACCCTTTGAGTAAACTCTCTTCCCTCTTTCCTTCTGACACGCCCATTATTCTTACACTGGCTTTACAATGGAGCCTGATGGAGCCATCAGACTCCAGGTTTCCTCACTTTTAAAACGTCTTCGTTCTCTCACCTTTTCCACCAGAATCATTTCTAATCTTCCTCCAGTCTTACCTACTCCATTTCCAGTGCTTTTCTAATGCATTCTGAATTTCATTTACTGAATCCTTTAACTCTAGGGTTTTTATTTAGTTCTCTTTTAAAATAATTTTAGTATCTTGGTAAAATACTCATTCTGTTCATTAATTTTATTCATGAGTTCACTGAATGGCTTACATTTTCTTGAAGGTTGTTGAGTTTCTTCATAACAGCTATTTCAAATCTTTTATCAGTAATATTCCATATGTCTTTGAGTTTGCTGCAACACTGTGGTTTTTCTCTGTGATATTGTATCATGGTGAATTTTTTATAGCAGTTGTTGAAACCTGCCTCTGCCATAGCATCTGAAGCAGCCAATGCCTTTCTTACTTAGGTAAGGCTTGGTTCCCTCTGATTCTGTTCAACAGTCTGGCAATTAGAATACTTTTCCTTTTCCAGATGTTGGTGGAATAACATAAGTTTTTGGTTTCTCTTAGTGGAACTGATTTGCTGCTAAAATTGGGAGTGTGCCTATAAAAACAAGCTGGCTTTAAAAAAATATTAAAAGCCTGGTGGCAGTGTGGACAGAGATGTGTGCTCAGCCCACAGTAGGGGTGACATGAAGCCCACATGAAGCTTTGGGTGTGCCCATAGCCCAGTAGGGGGGTCCTTGAGTTGGGGAGTCCTGGAAGTCTGCTGATAGACTCCCTGCTGTAATCCCCATACAGAAATGAGGTCTTCTGAGTCCTCTCTCTGCTCTCTTCCCCTCCCTTCCCCAAGTCACCACTGCAGTCTCTCCTCAAAGTGGGTTCCTCCAGCTGCAGCATGCTTGGCTGGAAACATCCCCATTCACCTCCCTCACCCTCCACCCCCCCTCCATCAGCAAGGTTGCTGCTGCCTAGGCCACTAGTCTCCTGGACCCGCACCATCCCTGAGGGCCAATCCCCCCATTTCAGAAGCTCGGATGGAAGGGTCCCTTGGTATGCTGTGCAAAGTCACTTGTGTTCAGTTGTGGAAGTGTGAATAGTTGTAAACTGAAGGGGAAAGGAAAAAGGAGTGGCTTACGCTGCCATGACGGCGACATCACTCTCAGCCGCAGTCCTTGTTAGAGCTTATTTTGTCTAAATATAGCTGCCCCAGGTTTTTTTTTTATTTGTTTCCATTTGCATGGGTTATCTTTTTACAGCCCTTCACTTCTCAGTCTGCATGTTTCCTAAGATCTGAAGTAAATTGCTCATAGACAGCATCTTACAGATTCGAGCTTCGTTGGCTTTCAAAGCCAGATGTCTTGATACATTGTCTCTCAGGTGCAGTTCTTATAAGCTGGGGTGCCTAACGTGGGCTTCAAACTTCAAACTTCATTCTTTAGGGAGAAGTTCTGGGTTTTGAGTTAACCACAAGTGTGGGTTACCACACTGAGAGTAAGGTTTATGGCAAGATGGTACCTCAGCCTCTCCTACCTCTTTTGGTGTGGATTTTTTTTCTCATTTGCCCAACGAGTAAGAGTCACTCAGCTACTTTCTGGATTTCTTTTCAGAGGAAATTGTTTTACCTATAGATTTAGTGTGTCCACGGAAGGAGGTGAGTTCAGGCTCTTCCTATGTTGCCATCTTGAACTGGAACTATCTTGTTTTAAAGAGTTTTGATATAGCTGGAGTATTTTTTTTAAGCTATACTGTTAATTTGTCATTGTAGTTAAGGGGATCATAGTAATAACCATCTGAATCATTTGTTCTAAGAATTGGAAGGGATTCAGAAGTTGTCTAATCTAACTTCCTTTCCTGACAGCAGTTGGAATCATTTGAATAATGCTCCCAACTGCTCTCTCCCACCAAGGCCCAATTCTAAGAAACTGGAACCTATGGCTTCCAATCATTAGCCTCAGTTTTACTTTCTAGAGCAACATGAAAAATTATACACTAATAGTCTTCCCTCCCAGGTGGTATCAAATTAATATTTTGGATTATAGAAACTCTAAGATTTTCCCTAATTCTATATCCTACCTCTATATTCTAAAACTTATACAAACTACACTCTCTGGTGGAGTTTAGTTCCCCCTGCCTTTTAAAATGTCTCAATTTGCAGAGGTTCTTACAATGAATAGCATTATCATAATCACATTATTTCCTTAATGAGACACAAAGTCATGGTTTATTTTATAAGTGATGATAATTTAGATATAATGAAAGGCAGACAAGCCTGTACCATCAATGTGTGATGACACAAGGGGAACTGTTCCATCGGAAGTGGTGGTATGGGACTTTAGACAGGTGAAGGTGGAAAATGCATCTGCCCATCCCAACGTTCCCCAGTTCCCAACGTTCCCCAGTTCCCAACGTTCCCAACATTTCCCAGTCACATCATAGCATCAAGTCTAAGGCCTCAGAGCACACTGAGAGATCAACTAAATTAGGGAGGAATCAATGATACAGCAACCAGCATGTCGCTGCCCATCTCAGGCAGAGCTGAAGAAGAGGAAGAAGAAATCTTATATCTTTTAAGGATGGGGTTAGGGTGGTAGGCAGAAGGACTTCTAAGTTTGAATATTGCTTTTTAAGTGGTGAAAAAACTCAAACATATTATAAAAGGAAAAACTGAGATGAAGAGAGTGAAGACTTTGGAGAGAGTGGATTATTGACTGCTGAGAGAGAAGAGGCTGAAGGGTAGGGAGTCAGGAGAGGGCTTGTCAGTGGGTAAGTGGAACAGGACCTTAGGGATTTTTCTGCAGGGTGGCCTCAATTTTCCTCTTTGAAGTAGAAGGCAAGGCCATCTGCAGACAGTGGGGAAATGTCTCCTTAGAAGGGAAGAGGCCAGCACAGACTCCTTAGCTGACGTTGGGCACCATAAAATTACAATGGTCTCATCAGTATTTTGTACAATATTCTCTAGATCAGCATAGGACTCTGGTGGTGTTTTAACAATCGTGTTAATAATGTTCATTTAGATTTTAAAGTACAAGTTAGTTAAAAAAAAGAAGCCTTAGCAGCTCAATTTACAATAGCCAAAATGCTAGAAACAGCCTAAGTGCCCATCATTAAATGAGTGGATCAAAAAACTATGGTACATTTACACAATGGAATTCTATGCAGCAGAAAGAAAAAAGGAACTCCTACCCTTTGTGACAGCATGGATGGACCCGGAGAGCATTATGCTAAATGAAATAAGCTAGGTGATTAAAGACAAATACCATGATCTCACCTATAAGTGGAGTATAGTCAACAAAACAAAGAAGCAAGCAAAATATAACCAGAGACATTGAAATATAGAACATTCCATAGTGTAATGGCTAGCACTCTGGACTCTGATATAAAGAACAAACTGACAGTGAGCAGAGGGGCAGTGGGGAGGGAGCTAATAGGGCAAAGAATGGGAAGGGTCATCAAGGAACATGTATAAAGGACTCGTGGACAAAGACAATGGGGGCAGAGTGGGAGGACTGAATGTGGGAGGTGGGGATGGGTAAGGTGGGGGAAGGTAATGGGGGGGAATGGGGACAACTGTAATTGCACAACTATTAAAAAAAATACCTTCAATTTCTTTACCAAGACAGGCTAGTGGATAGACAGTGCTTAATACTTAATACTTATTTTATCCTAAATAGATTCCAATCAAATTAAATGACTAAAAGAATAAATGCTATTTTATGTAATTGCTAAATTAATTTGTAATATATTTAACTGCTCTGTTTACCTTTGCAGAATTCTTCGCTTTCCCCTTATTTTTGGGTGCTTTGGAGATGGAAGCAGTCTTCTCCTCTTTGTCCTAAAGCAAAGGAAAGGAAATGAGGCCACTGCTATCATTAATCTACCTAGCAATTAGGTATTGGCTGCAATTAATCAATTTGAACTGTTCTTTTTAGCAGCCTGGACACCTGCAATTTAATTAAATAATGAAAAACTTTGGGTGTTTTAATCACAATTTTTTGAACCATGCTGAATGTACCCAGAAGTGATAAAGGTAGGCAGTAAAAAGGATTAAAATGAAGGAAATGTGGGTCACAATGATGCTCTGCCAATTTCCATGATGCATGATTCACCCAGACCACATTTTCCTCATCAACGCACAGCTTATTTCTCTTGGGATTGGTTATTATGTGCCACAGACTGAGAATTGGACATTGTTTTTAGTGTTATGGAAGAGAAATGTAACAATGGAGATAAGCAGAGATAGCTGGGGCAAGTCATACATAAAAATAAAGCCCACTCACCAAAAAGGCATTAATTATGAATTTACAGAAGGCAGAAATCAGATGCTGAGAAAGACTAGAAATAAAGTAACCCAGCAGGGGAAGGACTAGCAATTCAGTGATGGGAGATATGATTAATAACACCAAAGCGACAGCAAACTGTGACCTATAGTATTAATTCTTCCAAAAATGACAAGGAAGGGTATAATTTATAGGTAAAATGCCACACATGCACACTTGTTGCATTACATATTATTTTTTTCATTCACTAATAATCACATTTTGAGAATCTGCTATATACCAGACACTTTGCTAATCCTGAGCAGGGAGGTAAAACACACATCACTACTGCGTAAAGTACACAGCTTAGTGGTGCACTACACATGTAACTCTAGGTAACACAGGTGGCAGGGAAGCAGAGGCTTCCGGCAGTGGCCTGGGCAGGGAGAAGCAGTAAGAAGGAGCTGCTTCCTGAAGGAGCTGAGGACTGAACGGGGTCCTGAGGGATGGGGAGGAAACCCCAGGTCAGTGGGCACAAGAGAGTGAGGTGGAGTAAGAGACCCCTTTCATTTTAAATAAACACAGGCAAAGCATTCCTGTTGCACAGCAATACAGTGTGGCAATCAAAAATGATGGCAGTAGAGAAGCAACCTGGAAAGCATTTATAAAGCACCATATTTTTGGACTATAAGACACACCCCCCAAGCCCCCTCTGCCCTGCAAATTTGGGAGGAATAATAGTTGTTAATGCTGCTGTTGAGTTCTGTTTACATTTACACTGGTGAAATATTATGTTATTTATCTTATTAAATATTTTACCACACTTTTTGCCTCAAAATTTTTTCCTATTCTGAAACCTAGGTGCGTCTTCTAGTTCAAAAATGTGGTAATGTTAAGTAATGTGTTATATGGACTCTGAGTACAACTATATGAAATACATACATATGGAAAAAGATAAGAAATGTATCAACTAGCGTTTGTGGGCAGCAGAATTATACGCATACATGTGCGTACAAACATGAACACACATTCAAAGAAAGTACGTATGAGAAAGCGCGGTACCTCCGCTGTGTTCGCTGAGGTTTCTGTAGTTGGAGGACAGCTGCCGAAATCCCCTGACAAGGCATCGATGGGGTCTCGGTCATCTTCAGGTTTCTGAGGTATTAGCAGAAATAGCCGGCAGTGAACAAACCCAAGGCGAAAATGCAATAGAGTGGCTTTCCCCATATCACGGAAAACAAACGATGCTCATTAAAAACCTTGCTGACATTCCTTCCTGATAAAGTAATGTATTATAAAGGAGATAGTAAAACAGGAAAATAGTGACAGCTTTATTTTATTCTACTCTTTTACACAAGTTGCTTGGTCTTCTCTGAGCCTTGATTTTCTTTCTTTCTTTTTTTTTCTTTTTTTTTTGTAGATTTTATTTTATTTATCTTTAGAGGGGAAGGGAAGGAGAGAAGGAGAGAAATATCAATGTATGGTTGCTTCTCGTGTGTCCCCTGTTGGGAACAGGCCTGCAACCCAGGCATGTGCCCTGACTGGGAATTGAACCGCGATCATGTGGTTTGCAGGCCCACCCTCAATCCACTGAGCTACACCAGCCAGGGCTTGAGCCTTGATTTTTCTATATGGAAAATGGAACTGCCTATTTTGAAGAGTTCTTGGGAAGACTGAAAGAGAAATAATACGCATACTCTTAAATGCGCTTGGCATCATATCAAGCAGAGGGTAAGCATTCAGAGGGTAAATTTTAGATTTCTAAATTGCACAAGTTGCAGCTAGAATTAAAAAAAAATTATACAAGCATGCAGCTGTGGTATTTACCTTTGATTCCTTGGGTTTCTCTGTAGGGGGCGCCACTGGTTTGCCCTTAAAAACAAAGCAGACTATTGGTTAGACATATATTTTTGTAAAGGTTTACTTAGGTGTAGTCAGAATTTATATAATGTATGTATATTATCCAATTACTTGACTGGGAGAGTACATATCTGCCACAACTGATTAACCTGGGTCCCTCCTATTTCCCCACCAGCTTTGGCTAAGTACCACCCTGTAACTATTTTAATACTCCTGGGTAAACTACAAGAGGGAGAGTCTGATCCCGGAAGTGAAAGAAACACTAATTATTTAGGAACTTTCTGCCATCCCATTGAAATTCTGCTTAAAGTGTCACAAAAAGTAACTTGTATTTTTATGTCCTATTTCCAGTGCTTTTATGTCTTATTTATTATAGCTTATCATATTTCAGAAGGATGTGAGGCACTGGAACAGTCTACAAATGTACCAGGGTTATTTTTTTTTCAGTCAGGATTATGAGTACAACTCATTAGGGGTTTTTCCCATCTATGAAGGCAAGGACATGAAATAATACATTTTCCAGAGAACACACACAGGGTCTGGTGGTACCATCAGAGCAGGGAGGACTCTAGCAGTGTGCAGAACTGCTCTCATGAGGAACACAGAATAAAAGCAAGGAGAATTGATTCCTGTATGAGGAGACACTCAAGCTGGTAACACCGTTTAAATCAAATGAAGCAGTACAGAGAGGATGTAATTTGGACTTCCCTGTTTTTCTTCGACGAAAAGGCCTGGAAAGGGTTATTTATCATCTAATTAACTTACAATAGGAGCCTAACAGGAAGGGGCGAGGTACAGGCCAGGCCGACCTCAGAGAAACTGGCTTCCATGTTAGAGACACAGGCCAGGCCTTCCTGACAATATATGTAGATATAGAAATAGCACTTGTGATTGAGAACATGGTTTTGCCTGTTTTCACTCAACTGTGTAGGAGAAGGAAGAAAGGGAGACCCCAGGTCTTGGAGTTACCTTATTTGTCCTGTTCATTATTGCAATACTAGCTTCTCTATTGTTCTCCTCAAACGGAGAGACTCCACTTAAGTCAGGATTACAAATATCATTCTTTTTTATAGCCTTTTCTTGTAAAAAGGGTTCATCTGTATACGTGCCTTGGAATCACTGTTGGGCATCCATGAGTGACTGAACATTGTTCACCTCTCTTTACGCCACAGTGTCCAGAATAACTATACAATAAGTTATACTGGCTCAAATAAATATTAAATAGAATCCTAGACAGCCTGTTTGACAGGGGCACATTAAAAACAGACACATTACATTTCTACGCTGTTGTTAAAGTGCAACTCCTATGCATTTCAAGTGAAGTTTGCATTTCAAGTGAAGTTTGGATCTAAAAAGCTTTGTCGTATACATCCGATGTGGACCTCTGCCTTCACTTACCTTATCGTTATCCAAGAGATGTCTGTATTCCGGGGGGATGGTGTCATCTCTCTCTCCCAGCTTGTCTCTATGTTCAGCTTTAACTTTTTCCTATAAACATTGAGTAGATATAATTAATATTCCTTTCCTCTTTTGCTTATAGGATGCATTCTGATATGCATTGCTCAGCATTTATTGTGCTCTTCTGGGGCAAAAAACGTACCCATGTTTATTTTTTAAGCAAGAGAATAACATACTGGATGACTTGAATGGGCTATTAGTTGATCAAAAAAAGTAAACTCATGTGCTTCTATATGTCAGATTACATCTGTGACTTTTATACCTGTATTTTAAACCGAAATAAATGATTAAAAAATTATCCTCAGAAACTATGTGAAGAGATAACAACCAAAGACATAAAACATCTGTGAGTTTCACTTTTCAAATAAAGAAATCAAATCACTGCACCTTGGCATTGAGAGAGGTAATAATGACCAGTATTTATAAGCAAACCTGAAGGACCAGGATGCACAGCAAACGTGAACCGATGTGCTGACTGCTTATGTTGCAAGTGAGGGGACACCTGCTGTTAAGCAGCACCTACCATCCAGTCTCCCCGCCTCAGTGGGGTGTGGCTGGTCTCCTCCACAAATTCAGTGACCCTAACTTTCCCCCTCTCAGGGAGGGGGTGCTTTAGATTTTGCTTTTCTGCCTCATTATAATTTAATTTTTCAAATATAGGTTAAGTTCACATCAGTGTTCCTATGACAATGGTAGACTCAAGATGTAACTGTCCTTTGAAATGCCATCTATGGGACACCAATCTGAATGGTCAGTTGCTTCCTGGTTCCAGGGTAAATGGACTGTTGCATTGTGGATTGTTGATTGTGTGCTGAGTATCAATAAGTCCCTATACATGATGCATAAGAGAGGGAGAGTTAACAGTTTGTGCCTGGTAGACAGACCTCAGCACAGGGTCAAACTCCTGGTCAAAGCTCTCCTCCTTCCAGAGTTTGTGTGTAGTTAGTTAAGAGGGTGGACCACGTTACTAGGGAAACCCCTGCCGCTCCACACACAGTGTGTGTCAACCTAAAAAAGGCACACATATGGGTATCATATATGCCATGTCTCATTACCAGACAAAACCAAGAAAAGTTAATTTGGGAAGAGAATAAAATTAACAAGGCAGAGGTATGCTTTTCCATTGTAACAAGGTTTGGCCTCAGAAACAGGATTTGCCTGAATCTGTGACATAGCCTCAGTCCTCACTGAGGAAGTGAAGAAACACAACACCGACAGGGAAACATGAGACATGTTATCCAGCTGTTCACTAATTCCACACAAAGTCAGAAGTGTTTTTTTCTTTTTGTGTGGAGGGTAGGGTATTCAATGCTATAAAGAATCTTAAATTTACACTTATTTTTTCACTTATTTTTCCCTTTTACCTTGACTTTATCCCTTATGGGTTTGCCCTCATCTGGATCAGGCTGCCTGTGTCCTAGACGGTCAGCAAGCTCATCAAGGGCATCATCAATTTCTTTGTCATTCTGTTAAAAAGTAAATCTGAATTAGTCACTGGTGGCCAAATCAGGTCACCTGTTGGAGTGTGGCCCCAAACACTGCCACTGAGACTTCCACAGGAAGGCACTGGTCCGCCAGCCCCAGGACAGGGTCATTTTTCCCTGTTCACTGGCTCTCAGTGACCTCTCTGCTCCTCTCTACACCTGTCCCACCCCAGGTGTCTTTCACCTTCTAAGAAAACAGGTGTCTCCTAAAAAGATGGAGTTCCCTGGACTGATTGACTCAAGATGCTGGAGAGTTTTCAGCAATGAAAACTCACATGAATTATTACAGCTTAGTTTACTCTTTGATTCCCAAGTATATTCATTTAAATAAAGATTATTCCTAGTTTTAGCAATGGCTCCAAATTAACTAAAAATAGACTCTCCGATGGGAAAACTAATAATTTCTTATTCTGCAACACACTTGTGAAAGGCATATACATGCAAAAAAATAACACTAAACTACCTTCTTACACTAGAGGCTTAAATGTAAGCCTCTAAATCACAAAACTCGTAGACGAAAACACACGCAGTAAAATCTCTGACATTTCTCTTAGCAATATTTTTTTTGATATATCTCCCTAGGCAAGAGAAACTATATCAAACTAAAAAGTTTTTGCACAGCAAAGGGAACCACCACTAAAAGGAAAAGACAACACACTGAATGGGAGAACGAATTTCACCAACAATAAAGGGTTAGTATCCAAAATTTATAAAGAACCCATACAAGTCGACACCAAAAAAACCCAAACGATGCAATTTAAAAATGGAGACTTCTCCAAAAAGACACATGGATGGCCAATAGGCATATGAAAAGATGCTCGATGTCACTAATCATCAGAGAAATGCAAATTAAAACTACAGTGAGGTATCCTCTTACACCTGTCAGAATGTCATCATCAATAAATCAACAAACAAGTACTAGCGAGGACGAGGGGAAAAGTGAATGCTTGTGCAATGCTGGTGGAAATGTAGATGGTGCAGCCACTACTGAAAACAGTATGGAGGTTCCTCAAAAAATTAAAAATGGACCTGCCTTACGACCCAGTGATTCCACTTCTGAGTACATATTAAAAGAAATCCAAAACATTAATTCAAAAGGACATATGCACCCATAGTTTCATTGCAGCATTATGAAAATAGCCAAGACATGAAAACAACCCAAGTGCCCAGTAGAAGAACAAAATCTTACCAATTACAATAGTATGGATGGACCTAAAGGGTATTATGCTCTGTGAAATGAGTCAGTCAGAGAAAGACAACCAACCATATGATTTTACTTATATGTGGAATCGAAAGACCAAAATAAATGAACAGAATTGAAACAGCCTCATAGAAGCCCAAAGCAGACCGATGGTTGCCAGAGGGACGGGGCATTGGGGAACTGGACGAAAAAGGTGAAGGGATTAAGAAGTGAAGGGATACATTGGAAAGGTGATGGGTAACTACAAATTGGTAGTTACAAAACAGTCACAAGGATGTAAAGCACAGCATAGGAATACAGTCAATAATATGGTAATAACTATGTATGGTGCCAGGTGGGTGCTGGACATATGGCAGAGGGGACACTCTGTAAAGGCTATGATTGTCAGAACACTATGCTGTGCACCTGAAACTAATACAAAACAATAATAAACATAAACTGCAACTTAAAAATAAAAATAAAAAATAACTGAAACAGAAAAAAATGAAGCCAGGAAACTTTGCTAAAAAGAAAAAATAAAGCCTTTTGATTGCAGATGGCTACTAACGGCTTCAATTCAGGCATAACCTCTCACCTGAGTATTAAAAACCAAAGTGTAAAGGGCAGCCCGGGCCATTAACGAGTCTTCCTTTCTGTTGCACAGGGACTTTCATCGCCGCGGTTGTCACGCACACAGAGCATTTTACCAGTTTTAAGTGCTTCCTAAGAGCTCGGAATTACAGCTACTAATGGTGGAGCTGCCCGAAGCCGGGTCTGGGCTTTGTCATTTGTGCCTCTGGCTATTTTCAGATGCTCCTGAGGCTGACCCAACAGGATGAAAATTCATTCAGAATCTCTGACTACAGTACTAAGTAAGCTTTGATGCCACATCAAAAGCAAAGGAAGCATAGCTGACTTCACTAAAGCTACTTCATCTCCGTCTAGCAAACCAGGCACTTCACAACGACCGTAGAAGACGGGGGTCTGATTTAGGGTGAGCTCTATCTTTTGATGTGCCACGGTCTCCTCGATAATTTCACATTTGGTGCTGCATAGAAAATTAATCAAGGAAGTCTGGCAAAACTTTGATCCCACAGTCTTGCCTCAGAACATGTGAATAATTAAAACAATATTGATGCTGAGTTTTTTCTATTACTAGCATGAAAATGACAAATTTTTACTACGCTCTTCCATGACATATTTGTTAATTTGGGAGAAGAAGCTCAAACACCAAACAATTCCATAAAATAATCTTGAGGTTAAATAATAGATAGTATTTATAGCATGTGTTAAGAAAAATAAAAGAAGGAGAAAATAAAATATCAGGAAAGCTAAAATTTAAAAAAATTTTAAAAATCTAATAATTCAAATACATACACAATGCACATTGCACTTTCAATTCTAATAAAGCAACAATTTAAGCTTTGTGACTATGTGTAAATATTTTCACATACATTATTTCATATAATCATTTCGGTATTCTGCCTAAATTGCTAGTCTTAATTCTTCTGAAGGTGCCTGGTATTCCTAACAGTTTTTGTCTGCTTCCATTTACACTAAACAGGACAGTTTTGAATCAGAACTGTATTTTTTTTACCATTATTGTATAAAAAAGCCCAATGTTTGTCCTGTTAGAGTCCTGTTTTCTTTCTTCTTCTTGTTGTTGTTACTGCGAAGGTAAACATTTACGAAACACGTTGCTTACCGAAGTGGCCGGGGTTGGGCCCGAAGATTGGGGGGCTGGAGCTGCGGTTTGGGAGACCAGTTCAGAGATGGCAGCTGAAAGTTTATCATGTTCAAATGGCTTTTGTTTAAAATAAGAAGGAGAGATTTGGCTCATTAATATGTTATACACAAAATTATGTCTGCAATGCCATCATTTAAATAAAGCTCTTAATATAGCTGTATGATTATTAATTCTCTTGATCCAAATGGATCCCATTTACACTAAACAGGACAGTTTTGAATCAGAACTGTATTTTTTTTACCATTATTGTATAAAAAAGCCCAATGTTTAGTCAGGTTAATCTTCCCTAAAAAGAGTGAAAGGTAACTTTCATTTTTTTTTCATACTTTTATGCATTCATTTTTCAAATATATTTCAGAAGAATGTTGAGTCATATCTAATTAGTTATTTTAATAAAAATATTAACTTATAAAATGACTGGAAATAATTGTCACCATTAAGACATTCGGTCAAACTGTTTTAGATGTATGGGTTTTAATTTCTTCATGGTCTTGTTTTTCTAAACATTTCCTCTATTGCTATTTACATAAGTTGACATCTTGTTACATAATATTTTCTAATCTGTTACTAATATACACAGCACACATAATATCTACAAATGTGAGAGCAAAAACTTCAGGCAACTCCAAGGAATCATTTTTTTTCTACTTGTCACCTGTTCTGTTCCTCAACTGACATGCACTTTCCAGGCCATTGTCCACGTAGGATTAAATAACCCAGACCCCACGAAGAAAGGTTCTGCAGAACCTAAGTTTGGGAACACCCAGACTTACAATGTTTGCATACAGAAAGTCCTAAAACTCCCACAGTTTAGAAACCTGTTTACTGATCCCAACATCTCCCAAGCTTTCTAGTAACAGAATTCCCTTCGAGGGGCTATCTATTCCACAGGAAGCTAGGTTTCCTTAGAGGTAATTTGGAAAATGATCAAACCGCAGAATATCAACTGGTAAAGATATCTAAGAAGTACTTTTAGACAAACCCAATTTTAAATTCTCTTTTCATAGGTGGACTTGATGGAATACACGCTTCCTGGTTTCATCAGTTACACTGTTGAAAATATTCGCTGTGCTGGAACGATACTTCATGATGATGCACACTTCTAATGGCTACTGCGGGTTGAGGGCTATTAATTTTGTGATTGTTTCTTCAGCTACCCAGTCAGATTCTAAGTCGTAAGTTTCCACTTATTTCTGCCACTCTAAAAGTGAGGAAATAAAACCAGGACTTTCAGACTTACAAGCGATGCAGTGCTTGGGGGTCCAGTGAAGTCCTCAGACAAGGCATCGAGAAGGACGTCTTCATCCAAGGGCTGCAAGAACCAGGACATGAGTCAAACACCACCTCATTTACCTCCTCTTCAGAATGACGTCACTGTTCATATGCTGATCAACTCATTAAAAAGAAAGCTATGCCCTTCCTGAATTACAGTCAGGGCCAATGAGAAAGACACACTCAGGGAAAACAGGCTGCCTTACTAGAGGTGATTCCTTGGACTCTTTTGGCAGGAGTGGTTTTCCATCTTTGTCCTGTCCAGGAAGAGAAAAATACGGCATTGGGTCATTTCACATATATCCTAAGCATGAACCCTTGTAAATATTATCAGGTTATACATGATGTTGATGTATGTTGTCAGTTAGATTGTTTCAAAAAATAGATTCTCTTCGATTCCCAGTCAGGGCACATGCCTGGGTCCCCCGGGGGATGCACAAAAGCAACATAATTGATTTTCTCCCCTCCTCTGTCCTTCCTCTAGTATTTCTTTAAAAAAGAAAAAAAAATAGATTCTCTCCCCAGAGAATAGGCCCTAATTAGTTCATGTTGACAAACAGCTGACATATAACAGGCATTCCTTAGGCAAAGGTCTCCCCACTGGGCATGGCTTGTGACCTCAGAAGGCCACTTACTAGTACCAGACAAAAACATGTGAACCGCTCAGCAGTGTGGCACGGGAAGCTGTGTCGGGGGGCACTGGCCGGACACTGTGGGAGCCCAGGGCAAGCCTGGGGGGTGGCAGCTTTGCAGAAGTTGCTTGGAAAAAGCTGGCTAACTGTATGGTGTGTGTATATAATACACAACATTATAGGCAACATGTCCGATTAATATGTACTGATTCTGTGCCCAAGCCCTCAGCGAACATTAGGCACACCACAGAAACTGGGGCAAAGTCCCTGCCTTCAGAAAGCTCGTCCTGTGGGTGGGATGCTCTGAAACTTATGGCTGAGATGATGCCAAGCTGCTAATGACTCTAAGTGCCAGTTCTGAGTAACAGAATCAATGAAGTTGTTGTGACTCTGTAGTCAAAAATTTATAAGTAAATGGTAAATCCCATTTATCCACATATAAAAAAATAAATAAGTGCAAAGCCATATATATATATATTTACATATATATATAGAATATATGGTAATAGTGTATATAATAAATACTATATAGATATATATAAATATATAACTTACTATATAAATGTGAAATATGTATTTATTTCTCCTGATAAACTGGTCAGGTGACTTTTGTTTGGTTTATTTAAAATGTGAAGAGGTGAAATGGTTTAGAGCAGCAATTTTCATTTCCAACCCGTGTGCAACAAGAATTTTTTAAATATGCAATATCTTACTATTAGTCTGGGGAACTGACCTCTTTTCCCTTAGATCGTCAGATTTTAAAAATGACAACAGCCAACACAACAATGGCTGTTTGGTGTGCATCCTATCTTGAACCATAAAATATGGATATCCCTTTTAGCTACAAAGGCAGCAAATTTCCCAGGTGATACACAGGACCAGCAGGGGCACATCTGCTCCTCGCTCAGGCTGAAGTCACCCGGTGTCTGCAAGGGGGGCCTTGTGGGCCACCCCCAGGGAGCTGAATCTCACTGAAGAGGCCTGATGTGAGCATAGCTGATAAATAACAGTATAGGATTTTTAAAAAATTGATTGAGCCATCCCCCTTGAAAATGCTAAATAAATAATGTGTGAAGTCAACAAGTTCAGAGTGGATGAAACCACCACGGAATAAAGTAGTCAGGGAAAGCCACGCAGTTTTTCCTTAATAACTGCTACTAAAAGTCAGCAAAGGGAGAGAGGAAGCAACCGATTCCTACTAGGAAGAGAGTTACCTCCCTTTATGAAATGGGGCGGGGGTGAGTAGGGGCAGACGTGTGGCCCATAAGAAGCTCTCTGAAAGCCTGGCGACAGCACACGCATGAGCCTGAATTAGAAATGCCATGTTTTCAACTGAACTGTGAAATGCAGAAGCAAGCAGAACAGTAAACTTTTCATCTGGGAGTGCTCCACAGAATTCCCGTCCTTGCCAGACAAATGGACTAGTGTGCATGGATGAGTAGGAGGAGCATCAGTTTGATTTTCCCGAATCGTTAATGAAGTTGAGTTGAATATCAGAGAAATGAGCATGCGTTGTGAAGACAGCTGACACCTGTTTTATTGTCCACGCCTCTGCCCCTGTTCAGGTGGCTGCACTTAAAGAGTCATAACAGGGTCTCCCCTGTGTCACTTGTTTGGAACAATCTGTACATTCGAAATACAGAATATGGTAGGTACTCTTAGTTTTTCTTCATATCTAAAAGTTGCACATTTTTCCTCATAGGAAAAAATTGTTCTTCATTTTCCTTTTCCTATCTCTATAAAGGTTTTCTAAGTTTTCTTATTTCTGGTATTGCAATAGACAGGAAAAGTTAGGTAGCTTAGACGATAGGTTTCTTTCACTTCGGGGAGGAGTCAAAGGCCAGTTAGGAATATTCTAGCTTCATATCCAGTACACTAACTGGACATCAGTGGACTAGCACTATTTGGTGTTTGAAATATTAAGAAAGAAGATCTTTACATTCTCGGTTTGTGCCCAGGTCCTTTCTTTATGTATGTAGAACTCAGTATGGATTACAGTCAAGTAGAAAAACACCCCAGCCTGTTTACCTTGACTTCTTCTAATCTATAGTCAGGAGGAATCGTTTCTTCTTTTTCACCAAGCTTTTCACGATCCTCTTCTTTGGCCTTCTCCTAAACGTAAGTTATACCATTTTCAGTGTTTAATACCTCTTTCCTCCATAGAGTGGATGCCTGAACCACTAAAGTTGAGGTAAATGTATCTGTCATTAGGTTAGAACATATATGTGACCAGAGGCACTGAAAACCTACAGCCCCTTACCCTTCAGCACTGTGTCCTAGTTTGGCAGGCTCGGACCCCACCAGTAAGCCTGCGCGGCTACAGGAAGTCCTGAGGAGCAGTAGGCAACTGCCACTTCCCTCCTGAGTCCTCCGCAGCAGGGATGCAGGTGGACGAGGTGAGCCTCAGAGCTCTGCTATGTGCGTGCTGTCATCCATGCCGCACTCAAACACAGACGCTCACTCCCTCAGGCTGAGCTTAGTAAACAGGTACGCACAGCGACAGAGAAAGCCAGCTGGTCATGTGGTGTCGTGGGACATATTTTTAAAAACACCACTAACTTGTTTGGGGACTGAGCGTGAGCAATGAGCGTTACTTTCCAGAAGTATCTGAGCTGCCATTACCTTGACTTTGTCCTCCACAGGCTTTCCCTCTTCTGGATCTGCTTCCCGTTTTCCCAGGCTACCAGCCAAGGCTTCCACGGCATCGTCCGGCACCAGGCCCTGCTCAGAGCACACCAGGGGGTCCACTGAGTAGGTGGCTAACAGCTCCTTTCACACTTTTTAAAAATTTACTGATTTGAGAGAGAGGGGGAAGGGGTGGGGAAGGAGACACCCTGATTTGTTGTTTCACGTATTTATGCATCTATTGGTTGATTCTTATATGTGCTCTGACCGGGGATCCAACCCAGAACCTTGATGTATTGGGACAACACTGTAACCCACTGAGCTACCTGGCCAGGGCCAATGCCTCCTTTTAGAGAGACTACCTCAAACAAGTTAGAAGAGCACATCTTTATATCAGGCCTCAATAAGAAGCACATGTTACCTTTTAATAATTTGAATTATCAACTGAATTACAATCTATGTTTAAAAAACCTAAAATGTTAAAACTGAGAGCAAGTTTCTTGTATCAAGCATTAAGTGCGTGTGACTGATATACTGACACTGAGAAATAAGATCTAACCGCTGCTTCAGCTTGGATATGAGGAAGATGGTGGAAAGGGCGTGAGACCAAGAATGTGACAGCCAGGAAAGCAGAGAGAAGCGATTTTCTGATGATGGTTCCTCAGGGGCACAAGGTTAGATTTGCAGAAAAGCCCTGAAGAGGACATTCTTCTCCATGTTCTGTGAAACGGCCTGGCACCCAGAGGAGGTGGCCCCTGCTGAGCCCCTGCTGAGAGGCGCAGGGGCCTGCGTTCTCCAGCTGCTTCTCCTGGTCAACGTGGATTCACACTGATGGGGTGGACGCCGGTGACTGACTGACCTGTGTGCACAATGACAGCCCGTCGCCTGGCTGTTCCAAATGAAAGGTGCTCTCTCTGAGATGCGGTCAGTGAGCTCTGGCCATGAGGGTATTTAAAAAGAAAATGGATGGACACAGAGCACAAATGGTATAAAGGGAAAACAAAGGAGAAGCTATCTTTGGGGCTAAAAGAAATAGACCTGGCTCCTTCCAAACCACAGGTCATGATCCACATATTAGTGGCTCATAAAATCAACTCACAGTTCAGGGCCAGGACTTTTTTTTTTTTTTTTTACTGGAAGACTAGACTAGAAAACAACACATCTTACATAACAAAGATAAGTACCATTAACTAAACTTGTTTCTATTGTGTGGGGACTAGGTTGTGATATCAATGCAATTCCTACTGTTGGTCAAAAATGTGCAAGTCCCTAAATAGTCTCAAAGTTTATTCTTATCATAAAAGTACTAATGAATATATATTGGGATTGTAGAGTGAAAGTCTCTTTCTCTTTTACAGCTTGGCCATCATTCCAAATAAACTGCTCCAAATAAACTGCTAAGCTGCCACCACAAAAGGAAATAATCAGCACAGAGGAAAGGGAGCCTGGGAGGAAAGTGATTTATCACCATCTAGTGGTTGGATGCTGCATAGATTTTATTCCAAGAGCAACAAAAATCACTGATACATCTAATTTGTCTGGCATTATATCTAAATTGCAACAGTTGCAGTGGCCTCCAAATCTTAGCCAAGCAATGAGCTGCTGCTTGATCCCAGACACCTGCTCACACTCCTCTCCCGCTTTCTCCTGCTCTCTGCTGTAGAATCTTTGGACACCACTGCTTCCCATGCCTGTGCTGTTCAGCTTAAGAAATAAGTGCTTTTCTTCCATAAAGAAAAGATGAAACACTTCCATTTGCAACGACATGGATGGATATCATGCACAGTGAAGTAAGTCAGACAGAAAAAGTCAAGAACCACAAGATTTCACTCATGTGTGAGATATTAAACTGAAAGCGACAAATGAACTAATCAGAAAAACAGAGAATTTGGACAGTGGTTTGGTGGTTGCCAGAAGGAAGGGGTTGGGATTAGTGAAGGGTAAAAGGGGGTCAAATATACGGTGATGGAAGAAGATTTGACTTTGGGTGGTAAACACACAAAGTAATATGCAGATCATGTATCGAAGAATTCTATACTTTTATTAAAACCTATATAATTTTATTAACCAATGTCCCTCCGATAAATTTAATGTAAAATAAGTAAGTGAAATTGTTAGAAGAGCTCAGGGAAGCAGCAGCAGTCTTAAGAACTAAGTAATCTGGAAACAGGACTAAGGACTAAAACTTCTATTTCTATAGTATTTCCCATCGTCAGATTCAGAACTAGAACTGGGATCTCTGAATTTTCTGAATAAACTTTCTTTTTACACAAACAACAACTCCACAGGGCACACCTCCTGCCTCTGGTCTTTGTACCTTTGGCTCACTCATCCTCGAGCTTTATCGAGTCCTCTGACCTTTACCACACCCTGCAGCTACTCTCTCTGGTTTCCCAGGACGTCACAATCCCAGAAATGCCAACTGACCTCAGTGGCTGTAATCTTGGCAACCGTGGTAACCACAGCTGGTGACACAGAGGTGGCACAGAGGAAAGGAGGTCAGACAATGGAAAAACAAGAGCTCTGTTTTTTCCTGTCCACTAAATACCCAATGCTCGACTCCACATCAGGGTAAAGCTGGAAAGGAACCGTCCGAGTCCTCTGAGGCCCTGGCCGACACACTTGGTGTCAGAAGTCACGAGTTCTGCCCTGGACTGCTGGCCATCACCTCTTTCTTCTCAATCTCTGGCTCTGTTCCTACACCAGTCTCTTCACCGGTTCTCTCCTCCCCTGGTCTTTCCCCCATGACCTGGCTCCCACGACGCAAAGGTTTCTAGAGAGTACCCTGAAACCTCAAAGAAAGGGGGTCAAGTCCTATGTGAGGCAGGGGGAGGCCCTGGACGTCGAGGGGGTCTGCAGTTGGCATCAGGACTTCCTTGGCAGGAAGCAGCCACTTCAGGGCACCAGGATACTCGTCCTACACCTTCTTCAAGGCCGTCTTCTCGAACCACTAAACGCACTCACCCCACCTATACCGAGTGCCTCCCACCTGCGTGCTGGGCCTTTCCTCGGTTCCCTGGTGTCCCCATCAAATCAGCCCTACTCTCCTCTCAGTGTGATCCTGCCCACTCCCCAGAAGCCTTTCCTAACTCTCCCCGGAGAATGAGGCACCCACAGGCCCTTCTTCATCCGAGTGCTCAGGTTGCGCTGTGAGCTTGAGACATGACCCACATCCACACTGGACTTGAAGACAGCTGACGGCAGGAGCCCTATTCTCATTTCAGCAGAGGCCCTGACAGGTTAAGTGAATTGTTCAAGGTCAACTTAGACGTTAATTTCCCTCATCTATCATGGAGAGATAATTAAATTTTACTGTGTCCCTGTGAAAATGTAATTAAAAGACACTGTAAAGCATCTAGAACGAGATAGCTATTCAGAGTTCACAGCCACCAAGTCTGGATTAATGAGCATATTGCACTGATGTAATTCTCCAGGTCAGAGTCTATCGGCTAACAAATTCAAAAAGAAGCAAAGATTCAACTAGTTAAATATCATACTTCATCCAAAAGATAGAAGATGATAAAGAGGCAAGAACTGAAGAAAGGAGTTAAGTCCACCCATTGTCCCTTCAGGTAGGAGTGGGGTGGGTCATGATGATATTGGTGCAGATTTTTCCACCAGGAGAGTCAGGAAAAAGTAATATCAGGCTGTTTGTGGAATTCCAAATAAGCTTGAAAATATAGGAATGCAAAAAAGCATGATTATTCTCAGTAGCTGAGGAACTAGAAAGAATTTCAGAAGGTGAAAGAAAAACAGAACTTGTAGTGATTTAAGTAATTGAAACTTTAAATATAACCCTGCCAATGTGGCTCAGTCGGCTGGAGTATGGTACCGTAAACCGAAAGGCTGTGGGTTCAATTCCCGGTCAGGACACAGGCCTAGGTTGTGGGTTTGGTCCCTGACTGGGGCACCTACAAGAGGCAACTGATCAATATTTCTTTCTCACATTGATGTTTCTCACCCTCCCTCCCTCCCTCTCTCCCTCCCTTCCCCTCTCTCTAAAATCAGTAAGCATGTCCTCAGGTGAGGATAAAAAAAATCAAATATAGCCTGAGTTTCTAGCATATCCTGAAGCCCCAAATAGTAGATGCTACTGCTAAATGATCTTATTGTTTTGACAAACTAAAATAACATGTCAGTGCACAGGGCAGAAAATGCTCAGGAGGGAGAACGTCACTCTTCTGGGACATTCTCAATGCTCTCACCGAGGGCGCAGGCTTGGGAGGTGCTGACTGTATACTGCACATGGAGGCCCGAGGCACTGCCTCTGCCCCAGCAGCTGGGGTGGCCGCCCGAGAGTCCTGTGGAGAGAAGCAGGTACAATCAAGAATTTTCCAAACTATCTGGTTAGGAACACTGAACGACGATGAATGAACAATACACTGTTGTACTGTATGCTGTGAGCCTGATTTTCTCGGATGCCTACGGTTGCTGAATAGTAAACAAGTCAAGGCAGGCTAAAACCCTTCAGCCACCATTATGCCAACTTTGTTTTACCTCTTACCTTAGGCAGGTACTTAACCTCTCCGAGACTCAGTTTCTACATCTGAAAAACGAGGACACTAGTAGCAGCTACATCTCAAGGGTGCTATGGGGCTCTAATGGGCTAACACGTGAAGTGTTTTGCATGGTTCCTGGAAAGAGTAAACTCAATACATTTTAGAAACTATTATTGTTTTATTTCTTATTATTAATCATCATATAATAATATATTAATTACATAATGTGATATAATATTTTCTATCAAGATATCACTTTTATATTGAAAAGCACCATGTACACTATAAATACAAAGCTATGTACAAATGCATAGCAGTAACCCTGTCCCAGGAGTTCTCGCAGTGCGGTCCCTTGGCCAGGAGTCTCCGCAATACCAGATGACTTGTCCAGCAATGCACATTCTTGGGCCCCCACGCAACACACTAAATCTGAAATTCTGGGGGCAGGGCACAGCAATCTGTTTGAACAAACCCTCAGTGATCCTGGTGAATGCTAAAGTACTATCTTATTTTATCACAAGGTGTAATTTCAAATAAGCAGTTTAAATCTAGGCATTTATGGAAGTTTACATGATATGCAATGTGTTCTGCAGATGATAATAGGATGCAATTTCTTCTTTCAAAAAACTTACTATTTAAAACTATGTATAACTATAAGACGTAAAGAAGGATCAAGAGCTACAAACTTGTGTGCAACAAATGCCTTAACAGGGACATATAAAGAAAGAACGACAGCCCCCCCCCCCCCCCGACACATTACACTCTGCTTCATAAGATTTGCAAGGCTGGTCAGGTTCGAGCAGACAAAGGCCATATTTTAGCACAGCCTTAAAGGGATGACTAAGATCTCAGTTGATCTAAAATTAGGAAGAGAGGTTACTCCAGACAGGAGGAACCATTATGAGAAATGCCACAGAGACACACACACTTAATGGCATAGTTTAGGGACGTGGGACGCACCTTGGCAGAAAAGGAAGCTCAGACCAGAACGCATTAGCAGAAACTTTACTTTTGTGAGAATGGGAAGCTCCTGAGGACTGGAGCAGGGGAATGATGTGACTACAAGCCTGTTGGGGAAAGAGTAATTCTGGTGGACATACGGGATGGACCGGAAGGAGACTGAAGACAGAGGCCATTGCCACCTGGAGGAGAGTGATGACAACTTGAAGGACGTCAGTTGCAGAGGCAGGAATAGGAAGGAAAGCACGGGGGTGGATGCTTTCCTGACAGAGTAATTACAGGATTTAAATGGCAAGAAAGTCGGGTAGGCTTGGGAAAGAAAGCACATTCAGAAAGAGGCAAAACAAACTCTGCATGTAGAAAAAGGTGGCAAAATGGCCTTTTTGTCAATCACTTCATGCTGAAATACTGTTGGTCTCACATTTTTAAGATTATAGAAAAACATTAAAAAACAAGCAAAACCAGAGACTGAATTTTAGAAACATACTTCTGTTTTTTCAGTTGGCTTGGATTGTTTTTCTTTACGTTTGGCCTGGTTAAAATCTTCTGACAGCTCATCAATGAGTTCAGATTCACTCAAGGGCTGAAATATAAGAGACATTGTACATTATGAAGTGACCATTTTTTACTTTGTTAAATAAGTTTTCCTAAAGAATTTTTTCTGGTTAACGTATATTTGGCCATGGAGGGTGAGGCAAAAGTAGTATGTGAGTATGCGAAACACAAAGTTTATTCTTGTTTATGATTTATTAATCATTGAACTATTTTCCATGCAAACCACTGTAAACCTACTTTTGTCCATCCCTACACTTTAGGGTCTAAAAAAGCTAATTAATACAGGGCACTTCATTTATCAAGATATAAATGTTGTGCAACAAGTAAGGAACATTGAACACCTCAGTACCACAAAAATGTTAATGTTTTATTTAGAGTTTTCCCGACACTTCAATTACAAAGTAATTTTGTTCAAATAAAACTGCCCGTTCTTTCCAATGAAGGTGTATTTCTTTTGTGGTCACTTTTTTACTTCCTAATGGCTTCCCTTCTGAATAAGTCAGAGGAAGGACAGATCATGTCCTACTCTCCTATGACTATGTGGGGTTTGGGCAGGAAATTTGTTATCCCTGCTTCCTTCTGGTGAGGTCGAGTATTTGTTTGGGGCATGTCATTAGATTTTGACTAATAACAGTAATCCATGACAGAATGATACGGGTCTCCGAAGCTGGGCCCCAGTGTCAGGCAGCCTGAATTTGGAGTCTTGGCCTTGCTATTTCTTAGCTGTGTGACCTTAGGCTATTTATATAATCTTTGTGTATCTCAGTTTCCTCACCTGTAAAATGGGAATAATGGCACCTTCCTCATTCAGTGAGGACTCAAAAAATAGCATAGGAAAGGCATTTAGTGCAGTGTCAGGAACATGGTGAATGACTGATAAATGGGGCTCAGTATTATCACGGTAGGTAGCCGCCCTGGTGGACACCAGCGTGTGCAGGGCAGGGTAGGGTCACTAGAGTATTTGCTGCTGTAATTAGAATCAAGTGCTCAGTGTTAACAATCTAATTGAAGGGCCCACTTGACATTAGTTCCTAATGTTCAGCAAATGTCACCTAGAAATTTATAACAGGCTGGTGTTAATCCATGGGGAAAATAATTAAAGTATGTGAAAAGGAGTCACGGCTCTGAGCCCTGTGCTGCTACCAGAAGTTCCCTCTCCTTAGTACCAGGGTGCTGGGTCCAGTCTCCATGGTGAAACCCTGTCTGTCAAAATTATCTGTACTTCACAGTTCTATTGTTTTAAAGTATCCAGAAAAAATTCGTCTCCCAACCTTTGATTTTTTTTCAGGCTCTGGCAGTAGTGGTTTTCCATCTTTATCCTGTAAACGAAATAGAAAATTCATTGAAAATGAAATAGAAAATTTTGCTTTCAAGTCCCATTAAGCTTGTCTTGGAGAATTCCAGGATATGAGAGGAGAGCATTTTTTTCCTTATATTTAAGTGAATTTTCATTTCAGATTTATCTTTTATACAGTATCAGAATAAAGATTTGAGATGTAAAAATCAAGAGACCAAATATCAAATATAATGCACGTTTACTTTCTTTAAAAGTTGCTTAAAAAATTTCATCTATTTGATAGACAAATAGAATTTTAAAATATCTTTAGCAAGAAATGTGCATCGACATTAATGAAAGGTTTTTTTAAAGCCCTAATTCTCCAACCCAGTTAAAGAGCTAGATATTATTTCCAAAATACTATTTTATTTGGGGCTTTTTTTTTTGGATATGAGGTTTCACAACTTAGAATATTTCTAAAAATGAAAAACTTTCCATCTATGAATTTATGAAAATCACACTATATTCTGTCATAAGTTTATGTGTGTTACATCAAAGATAAATTACAGGTATAATTATAAGAGTTAATCCACCATCCTTAACTCACCTCAAACCAAAACCAACAAAACTTCAACTGAGGAATTGACAAACAGCTGTACGTTTATATCTACCACTTGGAGCTACGGTGCTTTTATCCACACGGCAGGTAGAGAAAAAAATTATTCCTAAATTGTTCCTTCTACTTTAAGGTTAAGAGTCTATGTCAAGCATTGTTTATAGTAGAAACACTTGAATTTGTGGGAATTTTAATAAAGATATGATCACAACTTAGGAAACTACTCCTTAAAGGGTTCAACTGTAGAGAGCAGAGAAGAGAGCATTCAGGGTTTTCGGAGGGGGCATGTGCACCAGAACAGACATGTCCTTAATGGGGACAGACGCCCAAAGCACGTCAGAAAGCCAGAAGTGGGCACTGCTGTTACGCACCAAGGCTAACAACGTACCGTGGCAGGTTTTAATCTGTACTCTGATGGGACTGTTTCGTCATCTTCACCACACTTCTTTAGTTTCTCTTCTTTGGCTTTTGCCTGATGAAAGTGGAGAGAAAAAAAAACATTTGGTAATACATGTAAAATAAGATGGTGTTACTTTATGTATTACATGGGTGTTGTAGAGAAGATCAAATCAGATAAAAGTGTCTGTACGGGCTTGTCAACTACAAGGCAGAGGCCACAGGAAGTGGCTTTGAGGAAGGTAGCAAGGGGGGTGACTGAGGAAAAACAGCACAGCCAGGCCCCCTGGGAAGGTGCTATATAACCTTGGTTTTCCCTTTGCTCAGTTTCTTCAGCTATACAATGGGGCCGTACTGCTGTAATCCTTACCTAGCTACTGACTTGTAAGGATCACCAGAGGAAAGTAAGTAAAATATCCTCTGAGACAGTTAAGCACAGTGCAGAAGTTAGCTGCAACTACTTTAACAGCTTCCATCTTTTTTATTCAATGAGGCAGTTATCTCCAGGGGAGAAAACTCCGTGTCCTCAGTGGTGACCACAGTCCAGAAACAGGACAGCAGCCCATCGCACGTCTTGGCTGATCCATGGACAACTGGCTTTACCTCTTCTATTAGTACACGGACTCCCTCCAATGACACCAGGACTTCACTGGATTCATGACCCATGAACAGCAAACTCCATTAAAAATAAAGGTGCATGGTAGTTCTATAATACAGAACTTGCTCCTAAGATATAACATTTGCATTTTAAACAACTGCTGAGTAATGTGAAGTTCCATGATAGGTAACAATTTGTACCTATATCAAGGCATAGATTTAAATTCCAGTCCAAGGAGCTCCTGGGCACAAAGGGCAGGCGGGTGCCACTTGGCAAATTCCAGCTCAACCCCCCGCTCCACCTACATCTCAGTCTAAGACTGTAGTTCTCCACTGAAAGCTTAATTAACCAATTATTTTTTAAATATTTATTAAGCACTTTAATGAACCAGGCACTCTTCTAGGCTTTGGAATTGCAGTTTTACTGTTCTATAGAATAACCCCTCTCAATAAGGGATAAAAGCTTTTCCTTTCCACCCCAAACATTTCCAGTTATATTCTATTGCAGATAGAGAGAGGGCCCTATTGTGCAGTAGAACTTCTCAGTTCATGGACTTGTGAGGTCTCTGCCTATAAACCAGCCTGCATGAAAGTCAAGGTCACCTGTCTGATAAGACTGTCCTCCCCATTCCACTCAGTCCTGCTCACAACAAAGATCACATGCACAGCTGGATCCTTTCTATTCCTTTTGATCTTTATATACTTTAAATCAGGCAGAGAACTGGTACCAGTCCATAGCTGGTTAGGAACTGGGCCATGAGTGAAGCTTGCCTGAGTGTGGCCTCTGGCCCCTCCATCACCATCCACAGCAAAAGGGGAGTGATGGGCAAGCAAGCTGGCCTCCCCCCACCTCGTCCCACCTGTAGGCATTGGAAGGAAATATCCGGGAAATACCTGCTGAATTGAAATAGACTAGATAACCACACATAGAAATGGTGAAGATTACTAATGAGGTATCAGAATAAATGTTATTTTATGTTATGATATCTTATGAAAGTGACCCCTTCTCTGAAGCGTTATGTAGTTTTTTCTCTGCCATGGAAGGTACTGGAGTGGTTGTGAACTCCTACAGAAAATGCCCTTCGTGAGCCTTGTCACAGCATCAGACCATCCAGGAAGTAATGATTCACCATCACATAGTAAAAATTCAACTTAATCACTTATTTAATATTTTCTACATCTGATTTTAGTCACTCTAAGCCTCTTTGTGTCCTGGGATTTATGTTTATAGCTTCCTCCCTAAATTACTGTCTTATGAAACCACCCTAATCATCTGTAAAAAGCCCAAAGTGAAAGTACAATTGGCTCACTGCCCCACAACCACAGCTCAACTCGCTCTCATATCATCCCTCCTGGGTCCCCCCAGGACCCCTCTTTCCTTTAGACGGGCTTCTATCTGGGTGCTCTATGGAAGTGCATCTAGTGTTGTGTTTTAATCGTTCTATTACAGTTGTCCCAATTTTCCCTGTTGCTCACTCATGCCTTGCCCACCCCTGCCCCCACAGTTGATCCCCATCCTGTTGTCCATGTCCAGGGGCCATTTATACTTTTCTTTAACTAGGCCCCAGATTTCCTTCCCCCCATACTTTACTTGGTCCTGGAGGACAAGGACTGCCTCCCCTGCTCCCTTGTGTTCGCCCTCACGAAGCTCGTTGTGCCACGCTGCGTCTGGTAAGCCCTCTAAGAAAGTCGAAGATAGAAACTGTCCCATTTTGCTCAGGTTGGTCCCAGACTCAGGGAGGGCTGCTGGGAGTAGGTGAGGCTCACCTTCCCCAGTGACTCAGAACAGGAAGTGACCACAGAGGCAGGCATTGTGACAGCGGCACCTGCCAGCCCCCCAGGCTGAGCTGATAGGGCTGTGCGCTGAGGGGTCCCCAGGCTGTGCTCACACGCCTGCCCCCCAGGACACCGGTGGCCCAGCTGGAAAGTCCCCAGGGCAACTCTCTTCCTTCCTTCTCCTTTCCGCGCAGAGGACTCTGTTTAAATATTCTTTAAAAATTTGTAACTTAATATTACACCTCTGTTCCACCAAATACAAGCCTGCTTTGGCTTACGCTTGTGAAGATCCTGTTACGTGTGGGGACAATAACTCCCCAGCATCAGGTTCTCAACATGCAGCAGCTTCAGTTACAGGGTAATTGTTGCTGGATTTTATCCTAATTTGAGACACATTTTCAACATTGTCCCCATAGCGATAAAAAGGATCTCCCCGCCCACCTGCAGTCATCTTCCTCTCTCCTTATGCACAGAAAACCCTCAGAAAATACAAGTTTCCAACTTCCACAAGAGCAGACAAACCTATTCCTCGCCAGGCCATCGCCTCCGTCTTATCTCGTTTAGTCAGGTGTCATTTAAGATGTTGGCAAAGGAGATTAGTGTTCATTTTAAATATTAAAATTCTACATGGTTTACAAGACAAATACTCAAATGTCCTTCTTGGTTGCTAAGTCCCCAGCAACAACTGTCTACATTAACCAGAGACCCTGAAAGTAAGGCAGAATGAAGAGTAGTTCATTTTAAATTTCAAATAAAACAAAAGTTATGCAAAAATTCTAAACATGCACAGCACATTCACTTTGGTGACCTGCAGACCAGCAGGCTTCGTGTATGACTCCCAGGCCCCTACCTCATCCACTTCCTTAACGGAGCTCAGGTCAGGCTCAGGCTCGGACTTCCGACGGCCCAGCGATTCCGAAAGAGCCTCCAGGGCCTGGTCGCTCATTGTGTCCTGTTCCAAAGGAAAAATTCTGAGCATTAAAAAAAGAGAGTCCTCAGCCTGAACAATCGATCCACTTCTTTGTGAAATACAATTTTCAAATCTAAAAGATGAATCATGGATTGAAAAGAACTTCAGGAAGGCAATTTTATGGGAAACCTAACAAGAGAGAGAAATAATGGAGAACTTACCAGGGAGTGCAAATGGGGGCCAAGCCACGTTGTTATGGAAACGGTGCCCCCAGGGGCACACTGCACCTCTTATTTAGCAAGCTAGAAGTATAACTATAACCATAATTATGCCATTACAAAGCACTCATATCAAAATAAAAGCCACAAAAGTCAACTTTCACTGTCCTGTCCTTCTTTTCCTAAATATGCCTCTGGCAACCTGTCCTTTGGCAAACCAGCTAAGCCCCGGAAGCAGGGAAAGCAGAGGTGGCCCTGCTGCCTTCTTCTCTGAAGGCCCAAAGGCAGTCACTGCAGGAACGCCCACTCTCAGGGGTGTGGCGCTCACTGCTCCCCGCCAGCCAGATAAAAAAAACTGTCGCTCCAGCAAGAGAGGCAGAGCTGCTCCGACAGAAACGGTTGCTTGTATTATCTGGACTGTGTGCAGTGGGCGTGTTTTTCTCTTCCAGCCCAGAGCTGGGAGGACTGCATTTCAGGATTTGTGAGAATTCATCAGAGTTGACTGTGGCCAAGAGAGGAGGACAGGAGCAGCTACAACACCCCTCTAGTGACTTCACAAGGCTCCATCTCCTCAAGGAGACCACACTGAAGATTTCATGTTCTAAGAGTGTTATTTCTCTGGTGTCCGGCCCTGTGTATATTGTAATGGGACAGTCTTCATTCCCAACCAAGGAGATTCACTGAAATCTCCCGTAAGCATCTGCAGAAACACAGAAGACCTGTCTGGTGGGGAATATCACTGTGACTGGTCTCGCCATCCCCCAGGGATCCCAGGGAGAACAGATGCTCCTCAGGACACCACTGTCCTGACTCAGCGAGCTCAAGCTCAGGAAAAGCAACTGCTGTTTCACAGACCCCAATTATTTTCAAAAAAGTAATTATTTATACCTCCTCCACCTTTCTTTTTTTCTCACGGGGTGGAACAGCACTTTTGATTACCGTGGCTGACTCAGCTTTTAACACTTCTCCCGTTGATTTCTGAAAAAGGGAAGACAAAAGATTACATTTATAGATGAGGGAAATGTAAACTCCAGAACTAAAAAGTTGTTTTAAAGTTGAGAGGGTTTTTAACAAGGTGCCCTAGTAACATTAAAAAGAATACCTTCTCAGTTTTCTTTCCCCCAGGGGCAGGAGAACTGCAGGTGAAGTCGGAGGACAAGGCGTCGATGGCTTCATCGGGCCCCGCGGGCTTCTAAGGAAATAGGTACCACAATGGGTAACACGGGGCATTATTCAAGCAAAAGATCAGATTGTAAACCCAGCAGAGGGAGAGTCTGACAGGCCTTCACCACCATATGAGACTGGTTAATAAAGTAACTCAGAGGAAAGCCTGTGTTTGGAAGTCAATGGGTTTGCAATATTATGTTTCTGTTCCCGCTTCTAAATGCATTACATGGGATGTTCCCATTGTATTTTTATTAACATTTATTTTATCCTAAAACTTTCTTGACTACATTTTTCTTCCTCTCCAAAGAAATCCGTATGAAACCAGTGAACACCAAGACATCTCCCACCCTTGTTCACCCCCTTCCTCTGAACAGATGAAAACTTCATCCAATTTAGAGATTCCTTAAGCCACAATACAGCCCTGTCCTCCAACCAAAGATATAAAAACTGTTCTTTTTTTTATCTTAACAGATATTTATGTAAACTCACCGGAGGGTCTGGAGGAGGTCCTGTGACCCCTTCTTTTTTCTGAAACAAATATTAATTTGATAAGGTTGAGAAGGCAAAATTAGTCCTTACTATCAGCAAAATGTGCTGCTCTGTGACTGCTATGGGTTGAATTATGTCCTCCCCAAAATCATACTGTTGAAGTCCTAACCCCTGGTACCAGAGAATGTGACTGTATGTGGAGATGGGGCCTTTAAAGAGGCAATTAAGGCTACACGAGGACTTTAGGATGGGCTCTAATCCAATGTAACTGGTATACTTATAAAATGGGCAAATATGAGCCAGAGATACCCATAGAGAGAAGACCATGTGAAGAATCATATAGAACATAGCTCTCTACAAACCAAGGAGAGAGGCCTGGCCCAGATCTTCCTTCAAGGCCCTCAGAAGAAACTAACTCTGCTCAGCCTCTTGACTCCAGTCTTCCAGCACCAGAACTGTGAGACAATGTATTTCTGTTGTTTAAGTCACCTGGTCTGTGATTCTTTGTTATGGCAGCTCTAGCAAACTGATACAGTGAGTGCCATAGTAATGACAACTTCCTATGCCCCGTTTGATCTCTTAAATTTAAAAAATTGTGACTACATTGATGTGATAAAGATTATACAACAAAAAAGGAAACAGTAAAGTAAAAGTAAATGGTCATTTAACTTACTTCCAGAAGCTCCCTGTATTTCGGAGGAATTGTGACTTCTCTTTTACCCAATTCTTCTATGTAGGTAGAACTCATGGGATCCTGTAATAAAATCACACACACAGGGATATTATGTAATTGATTAGTTGAGAATGTTACATGCATATCCTGAAACCAAAGTACTATTCCATTCTTAATTTATGAAACTACTGAAATAAAATATAAAACATTAAGAAGTTAATACTTTACACAAGTCTGAAATTCGAAGCTTATACAAATACTTTCCCTTATTTAATTAGCTTAACCCATGTGTAATGCTAGAAAATATTCAAATCACTATATTCAACTTGATTCCTATATTAAAATACATTTGACTTTAAATGTATTTCATTGACATTTCCAATTCATACAAAAGCATAGTTAATAACAATAAATGTCCATATAACCAATACCTAACTCTATCAGATCGATAGTTTTTTTTTACAAAAAGTTAGACAGAATGGTATTTCCCGTTAAGCCCTTTCCAACCCTCTTCCTCCTCTGTGTTAGCCCGAGATGGCTACCAACCTGAACTTTATCATATCCACACATCTAAAGTTGAGCATATTTTAAAATGGGTATTCTAAATGGAGGCACCCACGAACAGTATACGGCATTACCTTGCATATTTTCTAATGTTATATAAATGGTATACATTCTACATATCATCATGTAATGTATTTTCGTTCAAAATTATGTGTGTCCACAAGATTTTTTGTGTCCAGGTTGACATATAAGTAGTCCACTTTAATCACTACAAAGTATCCCGTGTATTATCTGGTCTCCTGTGGCACATGGCTGTTCTTCTAACTCCTCCTCCCAGGTGCAAGGCTCCCTCTCGGTCTGGATGTGGACCCGCTGGTTGAAGAGGATGCACGTCCTCCACACTCACGAGCTCCCCATGAGCTGTCGGGCTTGTACAGCTTTTCCCACTCTGCTAAGTATGGAGTGGTTCCTCTCCATGTTTTAATGTCACTTTCCTACTTACTAGGGAAACTTTCATTGTTTATTAGCCCATCCAGTTTTCTCCTAATTTTCTATTGGGTTGTCTTCTCACTTTTTAAAACTCTTTGTAAATTCTTTCACAAGTTCTTTGTTGTCTCTGTTGCACATACTTTCTTCCAGCTTATGGCACCTTTTTTTTTTCTTTTAAAAAACTCTCCTATAGTTTTCTTGCTTTTAAGGAATTAAGAATAGGGATGAATTGAAGATGGTAAATATCTAATAATCAAAATAAGTTCAAGTCCATGGATCTCAAATCTTAAGGACAGAAAAGTCTTTGTGGGCTGTATGGGACCCAGTGGGCTGTATGCCAGCAATAATCTCAGCACAGACAATCGATGAATGTTCCCTGAATCCATATAATAGTGCGGCAACCAGAGGACAAACCATTTCCATCCTAACACTAATTTCAGTTACTATCGTAGATACCGACATCATCCTATTTCTCTCTAAGCAACAGAACACTAGGTATACTTCGGTGCATCGTGACTTTATTTTGCTCTCCTACCCATGAAGACTGACTCTTTACAGATACTGAGATCCCATACCGAAACTTCAGGTCCGGCATACGTTGCGTTATCTTGTTCGGTTTCTTCAGGTTCTCCTAACGTGTCTATTAAGTCGTCCAGAGCAGCATCCATCCCTGACTGAAAAGAAAAGAGAACAGGCATTTAAGTGTTAGTTGTTATATACTACACTTTTGATTTTTTTTAAACTACAAAATACCATTCTCTGTAGAAAAAAATACCAAACATCAAAAGTTCTTCAAATATCAAAATTAGTAAAATCTGGTCTCGGTTAAACCTTATCATGTAAAGTCTCAGAGGACAGACCCTAATTTTTTGTTAATGTATTGAGTTTTAGAGAGAGAGAGAAAGGAGGTGAAGATATAAAAAGAGAAGTGATTAATTTTTTTTGTAACTACCTGTTAATGTAATAAAATTTGGGGCCTGCTAACTTTAATTTTTTAAAAAATCTCCTCACCCAAGGATTTACTGATTTGAGAGAGAGAGAGAGAGAGAGGTCACTGTGAGGAAGAAACACCATCTGCCACCTGCTGTGTGCGCCCTGACCAGGGAACAGACCTGTGACCTAGGCCCGCATGTGCCCTGACCGCCCTGACCTGGGGTGGAGGCTGCAGCCTTTTGGATAACAGGACGATGCTGGAGGGGCCTGCTAGATTCAGACTGATTCAACTGGGAATTTCAGAATGAAGAAGTACCTGGCATTCTTTAGTGATACCTCTGGTTAAAGAAGGTATATTTGCAGGAAAGAAACTGGAGTGTTATCTTCATGAGATGTATGTAATTGGAGTTCTTGGAACAGGGGGTTATACTATAAAATATTACAAACATATGTGGGAATATCACACTTTCAACCCAGTTATATTAGCTTAAAGGAAATCATTAAAAAGGTTCTTTAAGTTACCCCCACCTCATATTGTTTGCCCTGAAGAAATCAGATCCTGATAGAGAGGCTATGAATAAATATCTTATGTAGAAATACATGGCTATCTTCATACCTTTTCAGATGGTTTATCTGGTTTGGACTCGACTGGTACTGCTGACACTGATGACTTATTTTCTTTTTCCTGCTGGGGGTTTAGAAAGAAATAAACACTCCTTCACATACATTTATAAAATTCAATAATATTACATATATCAAAATGAATTCATTTTAACATAATGGCATTGATTACATATATTGAATCTGCTCTGTGATAGACACTATGCTGTATGTGTTATAGCCTTTTACAGAACAGCATACATAATATTAATAAATAATAAGATAGATTAGTGATATGAAAAGCAAGGATCAGAGAGGTTACATTACTTTTTCCAGGTCATACAGTAAAAAACAGACCCAAGATTTGAATTGAGAGCAGCCCATCTCTGTTTTCACTGCTCTTAACTGCCTCTCCCGGGGCCCACAGCCAGTCTTTGCAAGTCCCATCAATTCTTTCTGCGAGTGTCCACTCCCTCTAGCTGTGGCTACTTCAGTCTTTGCCCCAACACAAGACCTCCCCACCCTTGGTTTGGCATCTCGTCACCCATCTTTATCTAAAATGACTTTCCTTCCTACCATTGCTTCAGTTGCGCTATCAATGATTGCCAATAATTATCCTACCTGTGACTCCACGCCTTTCTTTACCCAGACCCCGGTGAGGACCCCTCTCCTGACTCACCTCCCACAGCAGCTGGGACCGAGTACCACCCTGGTTCCCCGGGGGCGTTTGTGCCCTCTGTTCTCTGCCATCTCTGGCATCTGTTCTGCTTTGCCCCCAGCTGCACACATTTGGCACAGTCCTGCCCTGTGCTAGTTGTTCTATCCAAAGTCATTCTCCAGGCCCCCAGCCAACCGCTCTCAGGGCCTGGCAGCAACTACATGGGCGAAGTTGCCAGGATTAGGACAATAGAAAACCATGTTCCACTTGCAGGTCCCTGAACTCCAGGCAGCAGAGCGTGGAGGCGGAAAGCACAGACTCCGACTGCCTGGGTTGCACGCCCACGAGCCCCAGCTGCACCAGACTCCAGGCAGGCCTCGTCTCCTGCACCTCGGTGCCCTCACGTGGGGGAGGAATAGCGACTGCACCTGCCTCCGGGTGGGCGGGAGTTGTGAGGGTGAGAGAAGGGAATCGATGACGATGCGCAAGCCGGTGTTTGGCACATACTGAGCCCTTTGTAATTATTTAATGTTTAAGTAAGTGTTAAATAAATGACTGCATGCTGTTTTGTCAAAAGTATTGTGGGGGCCACCAAGGTGTGAGCCTAAGTGTGGGCAATTGAATTCACCTCTAAGATTCAACCACAGCCTTAGGCAAACATTCATTCATGTTCCTTCTACCCCAACTCTTTCTCTCCCCATTTTCGACACTCCAAAACATTATTCTGATTGCTTTCCTACACGTCCTTCTTGGGACACCTCAAACACTTAAATTTAGCCTGCCCAAAGTCAGACACGGCTTTTCCTTCTCAACCAACTCCTCCTGTGACACCCGTCCACCCCAGTGGTAACCAGGGACCGGGGTCACAACTGCAGGAGGCACCCCTCTCACGGACGCCGGCCCCACACTGGTACGAGCCTCGCATTGGGGGTTACCAACCCAGCTCATTCAGTCTCAAGCTCCAGGTTACCTGAGGTTTTACTTTACCTTTGTCTAATGGTTTCCTGAAATTTGAAGGTTTTACCTCAGCAATGCCTCCTCCACTACTCCCCATGAGCTTATTCTATCTCAGCTCTAATTTACACCAAATTACAGCTCACCAGAATGAGCGGAACAGCCCCTAATCACCCTCCCATCTCTAATCCATTTCATCCCAGTCACTTTTAGTCGCATGACTCCATCTGTTCTCTCATCTTCAGTGTTTATTCCCTGCCTGTTAGGTTACTAACTCACCTTCACAGTCTCCATGGTGATGCCTCCACCCATCTTTCTGGTCTTCTGGTCCCACCGCTCACCCCTGTGTGTTTCACCCAACACTGGAATGCACTTTGTACCCGGAACACATCTTACACTTTTCCGTGTCGATGCCTCTGCAAGCCTGCAGTCCAAGCTGTCTTCCCAGGCCTCGCTCAAACTGCATCTGCTCAGAGTCCTGGCAGGTTCCCACTACCGACAATGCCTCCCGTCCTCACCAAACTGCAACCTGTCTTAATCTACATTGAGTTGCACTGGTAGAGTCAGACACGATGCTTTAAGCATGGTAAGTAGAAAACAAAACAAAGATCTGATCAATCTCACTTTATGGGAGACAAATCAGAGGCAAAGAAAAGTTAAGTGATTTGCAAATTTCCAGCTCAACCCAGTGCGAACCAAAATTCCGTATAAGCCTCTTCTAATTTTATTGTTCATCTTTCCCTGCAACCCTACATTATATCTAACATAAAAATTCCAATTACATTCCACCCTAACACATCTGTTTCTCTCTCTTAAATATACCCATGTCATCAACAGGAGAGAGTGACATGCACCCCTGGGTTGCGTTGGACATGAGGTCTCAAGTGGTCTGCAAGAAAGTATTTTTTAAATGAAGCTTAAAAAATAGGTGGGTATTTTCACTTAAAGGTTTGTCTAAAGTTTACCAGTACTCCATAAGAGATCCGCATTAGTTTGAGTAGAAACCACATGCATTTCCTCTCTAAATCTGAGAGCAGTCTGATGTTCCAGGGAGACGGGCCATACTTTGTCCTGGACTTTCCTTACCACTGAGGCTGCAGGAGGATGCCGTTCTCAGGGTGAGAAGCAGGAAAACAGACACATACATACTACTTTCTCCTTTCATTCCCATCTTCTCATCATTGCTTCAATTACTTGCTTGTGGTTTCCAGAGAAATAACTACTAGCATTTCTAGAGAGACATGGCTCCAGGCTGAGGTACTGCTATGGACTGCTTCTCATCTTGCAAATCCAGGCTGGAATCTTAACTGGCTCATCAAGGGATGTAAGGGGGACTTGCCCATAATTTTCCAGACAGGCACACACACTCTCTTCTGAGGGGGTTTAATGATGTCTGCTTTGAAAACCTCCCATATCAATTCACGTGGATGTCGTGACTGTTCATGGTTTACGAGTAACAAACTTGAAAGCTGAGAGTAATGCTTATTCAAATGACTCAGCAATTTTGTTTGCTTCCTTTCAAACCTGTATACCTTGAAGGCAGGATCCGAGTCAACTCACATGTTAATTTCCTTGATACTGATACTAGGCCTATACATGGCAGGTGATCAATACATATTTATTGAATTTTTAGATTTTAAAATCAATTTTGGTATCTTCCTCCCTCTATATCCTCGAACTACAATCGGGGGTGTCTAGCTCATTCTCACTGGGGGCCACATCAGCCTCACGGTTGTGTTCAAAGAGCCAAAATAATTTTAGGACTGTATAAATGTAACTAGTCCTGAACTGTTAAGGAGTTGAAATTGCATTCGGCCCCTTGAAGGCAACTGTGAGGCTGATGTGGCCCCAGTGAAAATAAGTTTGACACCCCCCCCACTACACGATGCTCTTCACATATGTTCATATGCAGACAGGGTTCACTTTTATTTGAGTGTGGTAGCACTGGAACCCTAAACGGTAAATGAGAACCGATGTAAAGCCCAGGTAGAATGGGAAATGTATGACGGAGCATACATTTCTCATAGGGCCTGATAAACACACAGGCCCACGCACACTCTACATCGGCCTATGTGTACCCACCTTGTCTTCTGACTTGCCAGATGCAGCGGCTACGTTGGCAACAACACTCTTTCCGCCAGCGGAAATTGTTTCCCCTGATTTAGTCTAAGGGTGGAGATAAAAAGTTAACAGGACTAAGTCTCTCTGAATGGCTATTTTCAAGATTATGCATTTCAAATGTCACCACTGCACCAGGTGACCCTTGTGGGCATCTCGTACAGAAACAGCCACTAGCTTCGACTGAGCACAGGGCATCACTGAGCACCGTGTAAGGCTGGACGCACGAGCTTACAGAGTCTGTGCAGTGAAGCAGGCCAGGCAAGTTAGAGTGTGGAGCAGGTGGAAAGCTCTCGCCAGATGCTCTCCCATGGGAGCCCACCGTGCCAGATGCTCTGATTTTTCAAGAGAAGCTTCTGATTTTACATGAACTATTCTGACTTTAATTCTTGGTAGCTATTAAAAAGAACTTAAATAGCATTGTAAGCCAAATACCTTTGAACAAAACACACAATCTACACTTAACTGGTGGGCCACGGATTTACAACTTCTGATCTAAAGTGCCTTGTTAAGCTGGCCTAGTCCTTGTCTTCCAAGAGCTCTCAATAAAAAAGTTCCTCTTATGTTTGTTTATTCTTCTAATAGCTACTTGGTCCCCCGTAGCTCTAGAAATACTGAATCTATTTCTGACATTGGCTCTGTGAGGCCATTCTTCTAGAATAAGACTCTAAAAACTCTGCAAGAACTCCATGTAAATGGCAGGCCATGCAGGGCATGTGTGTCCCCAGAGCCCACGAGAACAGGGGCAGACTCAATCCCATGCTCCTATCCGTGAAGCATGGAGACTGTGGCCCTGCTGTCATGACTGGGCACTGCTGGGCAGGGGAAGGCTGGACAGAACATCCCCTGGACTCCCCTGGTGCTCTTCTCAGGCCTTCCATTGGCCCGCATTTCCACAAGGCTATTTGCAAACCAGCAAAATGATAGCCCCAAACCATTACAATACAAGATACATTCAGCACAGGTCTGCAGATTCACTGCCACATGTCAGTGGAGAGAGAGGACCCGCCCCTTACTCCCTGGTTGATTCAGCATTTCCCTGCTGTTAGTCTGATTTATTTACCGTTGGTTTTGTTGAGCTCTCTGGTGTCGGCTGCCCACTTGATCTGGAAACCGCTTTTTCTTTATGCGCATGCTTGCTTCGTGTATCTGATGTATGTTTGGGGAGGCTTTTTGGCTGAAAACATACACACACCACGTTGTTAAAAGATGGCGAACACAAATATTTTTCTCAATCGAGTAGAAAGTGTTCACAACAGTTGTGTTTTATGTAGTTTTGAATTGTGCTAATTTAAAATTAGTGTGATATAAATCTGATAAAATTTCACCTTAGGTACAAAATTTGAAATAATGCAAATCCTTCTGCTGAAATTCAGCAAGAATCACCAGTAAACTGCAAATACTGTTACTGCCACATGGTGGCACCAATTTAGCCAAAAACAAAACCCAACCAAACAAAAAACCAAAACACCAGTGAGCCATCCTCATGGGACTTGTTTCTATAGCAGTTTATATTTGTTAAAATTTATCAGTTACAGTGAGTGTTCAATATTATTTTATATTAGCTTCATGTATACAGTAGAGTAGTTATACAATCATAATTTACAAGTTGGTCCCTCCAGGGACTTAAGTCTTGAATGATGTGAATTTCATATTTTTTGCTCACACATGCAAAAGGCTTCGCCTTATGATGTCAAGTCCTAATGGTGATCGTTTACCTCTGTGTGTTCCTTTGGCTTTACTTCTGGGGGTTGTTTCTCATGAACCACAGGTGGCTGTCAATTTCAAAAGATAAAATCTCAATCACATTGGAGTTCTTGGTTTCATATTTCCAAATAGGCACAAGAGCAACACCCGCTATTTGACACTCCACTTCTCTGGAGAACTGACATGTGCACCGGCTCACAGTGCCCACGATGTCATGGATGAGACATGAGACAAATTCACACGACTACCGAGTCCTGTGGAGGAAAAGGGACGGCACGGCTACTCCCTCAAGGGGGGAGTGCCCCGACCCTTGCCTAGACAGGCTTTTATTGGGTTTAATTTGCACATGAATACAGGTACACCTTATTAATCATTGTCAGGCAGTAATGATCAAACAATAGATAACATTCAAAGAACTATGAGGGCCTATTCTGAGTCAGGGTCTGTTAGCTAAAGGGCTACAAAACTTTGAGAAACAGACTCATTTCCTGCTCAGACCTTTATCATTTAACTAAGAGCAATCTTAGCAAAGCAGGCTTCACAGGATTTCACACATTTTTTCTCAGGCCTGATCTCCCAGGGAGCCCGCCCTTTCTAGCACAGGGCTGCACCGCCCTCTGTCATTGTTTCAGGTTTAAGTCAGACAGAGGAGGCAAGATAGCCAAGGAATTCTTGGAGACTTCTCGCAGACAGACTGAGGACTTAGGCTTCATCAAAGCCAAGAGGCGAGAGTCCATCACCCCCTTTCTCCATAGCCCCCCAAGTCCTTCCCTGGGGCCTCCATGAGATCATGCCTGTCTTAGGTGGTTCCTCTCTTGGGGAATCTTACCCATCATTGGCTAACTGATCAAGCATTGGGGGCCAGTTATGGAAAAAGGAGCAGAAGCCGTGCTCCTGCCAGGGAGATAAGCTTTGTCTCCTTAGTGGCTTATGGTCCAAAGGTCGCTCACTCAGCCTTAGCCATGGTGGGTTTACAGCTCCTGAAACCAGGCAGAGCCGTTCCCAACAGAGAACAACCCAGTTAGAGCAGTAGGTATGTGCTGCGTGGTTGGGGCAATCCCACCAACAGTCTGATAATGGCAGTTATCAGGAGAATAACGAAAAATTTAGTTTTTCACCTAGAATAGTTTTCCAGATAGGTACATCTCTGTAAAGTATTGGCTGTTTTTCATTCATGCAGATCTTTGGGTGACTGCAAGTCTGTCCACAGAGACACCAAGTGATCACCGTGACCCCTGAGTTTGTGGAAAGAGGACCCTAGTCTAGAAATTAATTTTTTTTAAATATCCTTTTACAGGAGACAAAGAAAACTGCATTTTCTCTTCAACTGAATGACTTATATAGTCTTTTCTGTGTTACGAGTACAGAAGAAACTAGAAACCCAATTCTCTCGAGATTGGGTAGTAACCAAAGCATTTACATATACAGTCACCTACAAAGGAGTTCCTATCAGACTGTCAGCTGATTTCTCAAAAGAGACCTTACAGGCAAGAAGGGGCTGGAAAGAGGTATTCCCAGTCATGAAATCCAAAGACCTACAACCAAGACTGCTCTATCCAGCAAAACTTTCATTTAGAATGGAAGGACAGATAAGGTGCTTCTCAGATAAGATCAAATTCAAGGAGTTCATCATCACCAAGCCCTTATTATATGAAATGTTAAAGGGACTTATCTAAGAAAAAGAAGTTAAAGAAACATGAACAGTGAAAGGACAACAAACTCACAGTTATTAACAACCACACCTAAAACAAAAGCAAACTAAAAGGACAGCGAGATCAGGAGTGGAAACATAGAAATGAAGATCTCAAGGAGGGTTAGCAATAGGGGAGTGGGAGGAGGAGAAGGGGGGAGAAGGTACAGAAAATAAGTAGCATAGACAGATAGAAAATAGATGGGGGGGCAAGAATAGCATGGGAAATATAGAATCTAAAGGACTTGAGACACATGATCATAAACTAAAAGGGGGGTAATGGTGGGGATGGGGGGGTAGGGTGGAGAGGAATGAAAGGGGGAACAGAACAACTGTAACAGCATAATCAATAAAAAAATTAAAAAAAAAAATAAAGTGAAAGACGACCTCCACCTGGCTGCTGAATTCTTCCTCTGGAGGGGACTGTGGAGTCACCACCCTCAGGGCTGCCAGGACACCAGACACACGATCAGATAAAGCCTCAGCTCTCACCCAGGTGATGACACCCTTGCCTGCACTTGAAGTACTTGAGCCAGAAGCATCTCTGCGCTTTCCCATAGGAAACCTCGTGGTTTTATCAGAGTATTTGGCTTAAGCACCTTGAGAGAAATGGAGAGGAGCACGCAATTGAAGAGAAACCTGTGCCCTGGCTGCAGACGCCCTGGGGGACACAGACCGGCTTTCGGTCTAGACAGCCCTGGAAAGGCTGGGAAGCTGTTCCCAAGGGAAAGTCAGAGCCGTCTCCTGAGTAACTGGTTCTACCAGCCAAGATAAGGCTGTGGAGAGTAAGCCAGCAGCCTCTTGGGAAAGACTCTCATCTTTGACTTAGCCAGGTGCTGGACTCAACAGACACAGTTACTCTGGATAGCTCGTTATTAAAGTAATTGGATACTCACTACCCTTTGCCCTCCATCTTTGTTTCTGTTGCTTATTTTTAAACAATACAAAAATATAGATTTGAACAAAATTATTTCTGAAATGTAAATTTTTATTTATAAAATAGCATGCATTAATTTTAACTATATAAATTTAATGTTATAATTAGTTTACATATGCTCTATAATATCGTGAAAAATAAATTAGCTGACAAAAATCCTTTTACCATTCAGTACGACCAAAAGAGGAACTTGGTTAATCATAATTATGGTGAAGAATCCAAATAACTCATAGATGCCTTTAATCACTTACCTCAGTTGATTGTAACTTCTCAGGTTCTGTTTTTACAGCCTAAATTCAGAAAGAAAAAGGAAGAAAGAAAAATGAACTTCATTTACAAAGTTAATTATACATTTTCTTCAACTAAAGAAGCTAAAAGGAAATGATTTTGATGTATTTATAAAGGTAAATGTTATGAGTTAGGATTATTATACTTTGCTTGGAATTGTAACCATTTAAATAAACACTTAAGCATAGTAACTAATAGTCTGCTCTTGTAATTCAGGTACCAATTTACATCTTACTTTTTCTATCTTACTTATCTGTCAAAGATATGTAAAGATTTATTACTAGGAAGACTCTAGCTAATACATAAGCAAAATAAAATAAAAACTCTCGTCCTGCAAAGCCACACAAGCATGGTCCATCCCTGTGTGTGTGAAATGGTCATCATACGTCTCTGCTGACAGTGTGAAGTGATGGAATGGTGACAGAACCAGGGACACAGACAGCAGTGAGATTTATTTTTAGTGCCAGAATGTGAGCGATGGGTGATTAAGCCTCCCAGAAAGTCTGTGACGGTTCAGAGAGTTACAGAAGACTGTGAACTGCAAATAGCACGTGCTGAGCAGCTGAAGTGAGCAGCTAATGTGACCAGTACAAGGAACCACATCACCTGTCTTTTGTGTCTTTTCCTATTGGGAGGATGCAGTCCTTTCATCTCTTTGCTGATTGGAGTGGCCTAATGTAAGAAGAGCACAGCTTCTTCCAAGACCCATTCTACTCATATGATGCATTTACTCTGTGCAGATGGATATAACTCTACAATGTTATAGGCACTTCAACTTTAAAGTCTTAAGCAAATATTCCAGTTTGGATTTACTCTTTAGGGTGATAGAAAACCTGTAAGATTCCCATTAATTAAATTAGCTTTGAACCCCTCCGGTTCCCCCTCTTCCTCTTGGTAAAGGCTGCTTGAGCGATATGTTGGTTATGTTCAAAGGAGCAGCCACAGATGCTGTCAAAGTTTTTCTGTAATTTTCTGCCACACGGTCTTACAACAATTTTGTAAATAGTGAGCGTATTCTTATTTTACAACAAAAATCTAGAGATCTAAAGTTCTAGGAACACTTCTGAAGGGCTGGTTGTGATTTAGGATCTTCAGTGGAGTATTCCAGAGTTTTACCCAAACAAATGTAAACTATGTCAGAAAATTTCTTAAATACACCCATGAATTCTCAGTACAGGCAAGATATGGAAACAGGAATACAATGTAGTTAAACATTTTATGAACTTTTCTAAGTAATAGATTAAAAATTAGGCCAAATGCTTCCCTGTCACTTCCCTTTTATCTGTTTGGTGATATCAGCACAAACCCTTATGTTTTATTCTATTATCTGAAAAGGGTAACGTCAACCATCCTAATTTATTGCATCTTATGCCTCAGTGATAAAGATACACACGTTCTGCATACAATGGGCCTTTGTTATGCTGATACACTGTGGCTCTGGGAAGAAAACCAGTTTATGATCCAAGAAATATTTTAAGGAAATTTTAAATTTTGGATCCTTTCAAACTGGACCTTTGTTAATGAGTTTCCACATGTGCTACTATGCTTTTCTGAGTTTATGCAAATCTAATTTTTTAAATAATTAATAAGGAAAACAATCAAGCTGGTATTGTAGTGGTTTCAGTCTTTCAATAGCTTCTATTTTGCCTCTATTTAGCTTCTATTTGGCATCAAGATTTTGCCTGGAAGTACTCTAAAATACAATTAAGAATGTACACTCACAGATGCAAGCAGCTTATAACAAAATGTACATTTTCATCAGTAGTCCCTAGAACATTTGCTAAACTTATTTTTGGTGGTGGGTGCTATTCAAAATAGTGATGACGATGATACCTAGTGCTTACTGATCACCTGTTGGGGCCAGGACTATTCTGAACTTCCCATGTGCCAACTCCATCTCCATGATAGTCCTGTGAGATAGGTATCATCGCCATCATCATCATTATCCCCATTTCATGGATAAGAAATTGAGGCACACAGAAGTTAAATAACTCCCTGAGGACAGCCACGGAGTTCTCAGTGTGTGTTGTCTCCAGAGTACCAGCCTGCCCCTACTGGTCCCCAACAGAAGTAAAGACTTTCTAAGCTTCCTAGGACAGGCACTGTCCAATATATATGTTTGTTTCTTCACAGAGTCTTGTGACTATTTTCATTTCCTCCAAACTGTACAGATAAGGCAACCAAAGCAAAGAGGAGTTTTCCAACATCACAGCTGGTGGGGACCAGGATTCCAAGGAGGCCGTCTGGCTCCAGTGTCCACACCCCATAATCCTCTTAGGTAGCTCATCTTGATGATTTGATTAGAAATAATCTGAACTTCTACCTCATTCACTGCAGTGTGCCTACCAGCTCTCATGTGCCAGGGGTAGGAGAGAGAGCGCGAGCACTGGAACCCAAACACATCATGCTCCCGTTAGAGCTAGACTGCCTGTCACCTGAAAGGTGCAGAACCTGACAGGGAATTGCTGCAGGTATTATCTCAAATAAACATCTTTTCTCTAAAAGCTCAAAATATTTGGGGAAATATACTCATGAAGTTCACAAAAATCTCTAAGAGGAAGCTAGTAAAAATGTTACAAGCCAAACATGAGAAGCCCACAAAGATGATTAATGAGATCAGTGTGATTAAAATCCACTGAGGAAGGAGCAGGGACCACCCAAGTGGTCCCGAGCTGCTGCTGGTGATACTTCACCACTTGCACCCCATTCGTCTCTCCCTCTCTTACCTCTCCTACTCTCCTCTCCCCTCCCTTCTTCCAGGTCCAAAACTGGCAGGGATCTCATGTTTAGCGCTTAGTGAGGGCTGAAGCGGTTTCTGACACTGCTCTGGAAGACAGGGCACGCTGGAAATAGGCATTGGTTCTCCAGCTGGGAGTTGGCGGGTGGACCAGAACCAGGCAACGGGTCAAATGCAAACCAATAGGACAAAACACACATCCTTCTTCCTGGCTCTCCTTTCTCTTCACTTTCTCAAGTTTTCATGGACTCTAAGGTCAATGAGAACTGTTTTTTGGTAGATGCTTCTATGATAGTTTTAAGATCATTTTAAGACTGAGATTAGCAACTTTTTATTTTCAAAGATTAGGATTGGTATAAATAAGTAGTGACAGCTAATATTAATTATGAATCTGATCGTGCATATTTTGAAAATAAGAAATTAATAGAAATATAAAACATTAAATAACAATTTTAGATTAAAAATAAATTTAAAAATTCAAGCGACATTTATAAGAGGTTAGATTCAGACAGTGTCTTTCAAGATATTTACAATGTCCTTTAAAAACAGTTCAAACCGAGGCCACAGGACGCCTCAACAGGACTACATTATGGCACAGAACTGAACTCTGGGGTAGGGTCCCACTGGGGTAGCAAAGTAAAATGGAGAAAGCAAAAGCATGATGGGGATTTTAAACAAAAGCAACTTAATAATAATGGAGCTGGGGTAGCTCTTTGAGGCACGAAAGAATATTGCTTCACAAGAATTAGTTGAGAGCCTCTGGAAAAGACTCCCTGTTTAAACCTCCTCCCAAGAATATTCCCAAGAAACAGAGCTGGAGGCGGGATAACCAAGGGAGTGGCGCTGAGGCAGCTCTGGCCAACTCTGCAGGACATTGTTTCTTTTTCCTCGGAAATTCCAAAACATAATTATTAGAATAAATCCCAAACAGAGTTCAACAAACTTTTATCGGTAATATGGTGCCCCACGCAACTAAAATTTCAGAAACAGAATTCAGAAAGCGCTCGACATAACCAGCATCTGTTACACTTTTGTGTTCCCTTAGTTCATTTCTCATTCTTATATTTAATATTAAATGATTATACTAATCAAATAACTTTAATAAGAAGTTAAGAATTTGTATTCTTGTTTAGATTCTGAGAAATGTGCTTAGATTATCTTAGAAATAAAAATCTCTCTCACATCCAGGACCAAAACCAACACAACGACTTTGGTGCCCTTTTTTCTAGATGCTCTAAAACAATGCAGAGTATAGACGACATTTGAGGTAAATATTGAAAGGAAAGATGTGTTTCCAATGACTCCCAGAAATTAGGAAGAAAATGTTTACTTCCATAACATCAGCTTCCCAGGACATACAACTCATCTGTCGGCTATCAGTCTACATTTGGTTTGCTTTACATGAATCGACTGAAGGGCATTCACCCACGTTGACCTGGAAGGCTCTTCATACCTTGGCTCCAGTGGGATTCATGCTGGAAGACTTGCTGGTTGATGCAGAGGAAGCAGACACCTGGAAGGAAAGAGACAGAAAGTCTGATTCCAGTTCGCCTATGACCTACTTCGTCCTTCAGCTCCTCTTACCCACACTTTCTCTCACCGACCTGTTTTTACTCTGTCTAGGGTACCACTTCCACAGAGCCCAGGAGATGGTTTTGCCCAATGGGTAAAACCTTTTGTAACCAGATCAAATGGTTCAAAGTTTGGATGTGCTACTTACTAAATAATCTTGGCAAGTTACTTACATTTTCTGATCTTTGGTTTCCCCTGTATCAATTGTTCTTCAAGAGGTAAAAACTACCTTCTAAGTCTATTACTGATAAGTATATAATGGCTCAGGAAATATTATTATAGTTATTGTTTGTGCTCTTTTTTAAAAAGCATGAACTTTGATACTTGCATTGGGCTCAAATGCCAACTTTGTCAATCACTAGCTTTGTGACTTTGAGTCTCAGTTTCCCAACTATTAATATATAAAATGGGCCCTATAATGTCTATTTTGCAGGTTAGTATTTGAGATCATGTGCATAAAACATCTGGCACATTGCAGGTACTCATTAAATTGCTTGTGCATCATTCATAACACATTGTACGAGACAGAAGGAAGAGGACATGGCTCTAGGAGGCAGAGTTGGAGGGACCAGAATTGTCCTTGCAGTATCGTGTAAGGAAGAGAAGGTGGGAGACAGGGTTGCAGAAGAAATGCTGCTCTATTATCTGTCTCATCCCTGGAAGACAAAAGGGGACAAATGGTCCCTGAGACCCCTACCCTAGGGACACAGGGCGTGGTGGAATCAGCCTCTGCAATCTCATTACCCACGCAGTGGGCCATGCATGTGATACCTGCTTGGGATTGAGCTCTACTCTGGTACTTAGCTAGCAATACACTGGTTAATACTAAATAGATCATTACTATCTTTGGGAGTTCAAATCCAGGCTTATTAAATCTCCTTAATATTTGAGTCCATTAGGTTTAGGAGCCCAGGGATTCCATTTGGCACAAGCTGCCTCCTGAAGTAACCAGCTGTCAGGAAACAGCTGCTGACCTACCACAATACCCAGAACCCCCGTCTCTGATGACTGGCCCTGAGCCATCTCAGAGGCTGAGACCCAGGGCAGGATGAGCCCATCCTGCTGGTGCCCCCGTCTCAACACCTACCCACACTACTGCTCCAGGCGAATGTGTGAATCCACTGCAACCCGTGGCCCATGAACAAAATTACCTTCCCCACCGACCTCACTTAATACAGAGCATGTTGGTTAAATGCTACATTACAGTTTACAGATAAAAGCCTAAATCTTTAATATAGTGATTTTTTAAACAGAATCATATAAATTTAACTATTCCTGAGTACTATTTGGCACCAATTGAGCATCCCTCCAGTCCAACACACACACACACACACACACACACACCCTGGTCCTATAGCAGGGCATGGAGTGGTCTCTCTCCCATTTTTTGAAGGATAAAGAACTGGAGGATGAACCAAGATAAATCCCCTCAATGAATTAATGGACAAATGTATGTATATTCATTTTTTCCTGAGAATTTTTTTAATTTGTGGGGATTAACATTCCCTTACATATATAATTCTGTCTTTCCACACTTAAAACTGGTTGTACAAAGTCCCATTCAAACTCGGAGAGTTCCTCTTTGCTCTATCTTTGTCCTTCAGTGAATTCTAAAACATATAAAACAACCAAAGACCAAACACTCCACATGAAATGCTTTTTAAGCTGCAAATCTTCAAGTAAACATTAATTTATTTTCTCAACATCCAAATTTATTAGAACATTCTTCAAATCCCTGGCATTTCCAACATACCTTACTACTTTATTGAGCAATAGCTGCACACAATCCTCCATTCCTAGAAAAAAGACTTTCAAAGGCCCACTCAGAACAGCAACATCTACAAGGAGTAGCTATAATTACCATGGGAATTTAGCTGAAGGACTTGGCCCCATCCGTTCTCAGCCCAGATCCCTCCATGGAAATTCTACCCTACCACTAAGGCACTAGCCATTCTGCAACTGAAATAGGCAAGCGACCTCACTTGGAAAATAAGGAAAGTAAGCCCATTCCACTGTGAATTCATTCAACTCTGGCCACTGTAGTTTGTTCTGTTTGTGAAAGACAAGGAACTCTTAATACTTTTTTCTCTTGTGAAGGACTGAATATACTTTCATTTTAAATCTCCTGTACTGTTTGAATTTGTAATCATGGGTGTGAATAACTTATAATTTAAAAATTCTGAAGAGTTAATTCAAACACAGTTAGTGCCAGGTACTACGTTTGGTGATGAGAACACAGTGCTGAAGCCAGTCAGTCACTATCCTTGGGAAAGTTATTGCCTTATCAGAGATAACATTAATAGAATACTCACTTCAAAGATTACTTGTGGTAAGTGCTCACAAGGGTCCTACAAGAACAACAAACTAGGAAACCAGAGTTAGTTTAGGAGACAGTCAGGACATGTGATGCTGAGGAAGTGACAGTTAGTGTGGCAGTTGAAGGATAAGGAGATATCACACAGGCAAAAGGCCAGGGGCGCCCTCTGACCTGCCTGCGCTGAAGCCGGGACCTGGGCTGCCTGATTTCTAAATCAGTGACTCTGCTGCAGGACCTGCCACTCAGCCCGTCCTGGCAAGATCAAGGGGCAGCCTATTTTAAAACACAAATATCAGCACTCACAATGCAAGAAAATATCTCTACTGGGATAAGACCTATAAGTCAGACAGAATTGCAGCTATAACAACACTTTACTTCCTAAATGACCCATACAAGTCTCTTAATACCCAGAGTATCATTAGTCATTTATAAACCTGAATTAAGATATCAATCATAGTAACAAAGACCAGAAAAACAAACTTTTGTAATCTTGCTCCATTCACCCACGCATTTGACAATTGCTATTTAAAAGGCAATGATCATAGGTAAACACAGCTCACCTCCTTGCACAATCACAGCAAAAATTACAAGTAAACTACAAAAACGATTACCATCTAGAATCATCACAAAATTAAGCTGTATAGAAATCTGACAGCTGAGGAATTAAGTCACGTTCATCCAGGCGGGTAGGAGGGGCAGAGATGCATGGGGAGGCACGGAGACATGGAATGGGCAGTCACACACCCATGTGTGGTGGATAAAAATCAGGGGATACCCTGGGAGCAAGGGACCTCAGCCCACACCAGACCACCCAGCCCAGAGGTCCAGTGCCAGGAAGGTAAGTCCCTATAATTTTTGGCTGTAAAAACCAGTGAGGGTTGGGGTGACAGAAGAAACTGCGGGATTCTCAGGAGTCTCTTCTTACAGGGCCTGCAATGGACTTAGGACTTACGCAGACTCACTCCCTCTGGGCTCAAGCCCCAGGGCAGCAGCCGGAAGGGCACCAGTGACATATGGGGAGAAACTGAAGTGACTGGCATCAGGGCGAGTGCTGGGGGACAGCTTCCTCCCGGACAATACTCCAGAGGCCAGGCAGCAGCTCTGTCCCCTTTCTGATCCTGCTGCCACACGGAGCCATATAGTCACAGAGCAGCAACACCATATCTGTGACTCCAACACAGGTTGCCCCACCCTGGTGATTACCTAAGACTCTGCCTTATCCAACTTTCGGGTGCACTTTTCTACAACAAGGCCACACTGCTAAGGGAATCAAAGAAGCTCTATGTAACACATAGTTACAAACAGAGGGAGGCTGCCAAAATGAAGGGACAAAGAAATATGACCCAAATGAAAAAACAGAACAAAACTCCAGAAAAAGAACTAAACTAAATGGAGATAAGCAATCTATCAGATGCAGAGTTCAAAACACTGGTTTTGGGGATGTGCAAGGAACTCACTGGGTACTTCAACAGCATAAAAAAGACCCAGGCACAAATAAAGTTTACACTAAGTGAAATAAAGAAAAATTTATAGGAAACCAATGATGAAGAAGATGAAGTAGAGAATCAAATCAATGATTTGAAACACAAGGAAGAAAAGAACATTCAATCAGAACAGCAAGAGAAAAAAGAATCCAAAAATCGAAGACAGGCTAAGGAGTCTCTGGGACACCTTCAAATGTACCAATGTTTGAATCATAAGGGCGCCAGAAGGAGAAGAGAAAGAACAAGAATATTAAAAACTTATTTGAAAAAATAATGAAAGAAAACTTCCCTAATTTGGTGAAGGAAAGAGGAATGCAAGTCCAGGAAGCTCAGAGAGTCCCCAACAAGTTGGGCCCAAAGAGGACCACACCAAGACATACCAAAATTAAAATGCCAAAGGTTAAAGACAGAGAGAATCTAAAAGTAGCAAAAGAAAAACACATAGTTACCCACAAATGAGTTCCCATAAGATAATCAGCTGATTTCTCAAAAGAAACTTTGTAGGCTAGAAGGGACTGGCATTCAAAGTAATGAAAAGCAAGGACCTACAACCTAGATTACTCTACCCAGCAAAGCTCTCATTTAGAATGGAAGGGCAGAGAAAGTGCCTCCTAGACAAGGTAAAGCTAAAGGAGTTCCTGATCACCAAACTATTATTATATGAAATGTTAAAAAGGACTTATTTAAGAAAAAGAAGATCAAAACTATGAATGTTAAAATGGCAATAAATCCATAACTATCAACAATTGAATCTAAGCAAATAAGCAGAACAGAAACAGAATCATAGACATGGAAATCATTTGGAGGGTTATCAGTTCGGAGGGAGAAGGTGAAGAATGGGAGAAAGATATGGGGATTAGAAAGTACAAATTTGTAGGTACAGAATAGGCAGGGAGATGTTAAGAACAGTACAGAAAATGGAGAAGCTGAAGAACTTATATGCATGACCCACAGACATGAACTAAAGGGAAGGACTGATGGAGGGAATGGGGGTACCAGGTGGGGGTGGACAAAGGGGGAAAATCGGGACAACTGTAATAGCATAATCAATAAAATATATTTAAAAATAAAAATAAAAGGCAATGAATGGTGCTGACGATACACAATGAGTAAGATACTATCACAGCCTTGAAAGAGTTT